TTCTGTGGGTGTACGAACGTAGGCTTAACAACTTCTGTGGGTGTGTACTCCACGCCAGTGTAGTAGCCACGGTCGTCCGCAGGCCACGAAGTGAAGTGTCCGAACGTCATAGGGCGGGAAGCTGGGTGTGGGTGGTGGCGAAGAGTCGTGTGGATATTTGGTAGAGCTTGCACTGCCCCCCCACAAAGTGGGGGTATTGGCTGGCGTCGCATGAAAACCCTGGCACTGGTGAGAACACTGAGCGTTCGGGTAAAGTGATTGTTGTTGTTGTTGTTATTGTTGTTGTTGTTGTTGTTGTTGCTGTTGTTATTGTTGTTATTGTTATTGTTGTTGTTATTGTTCTTGTTATTGTTCTTGTTCTTGTTGTTGTTGTTGAACATTATTCCTTCTAAAGAATTATTATTGTTGGGACCCCTGGTGCGCGACCTCTGCGCCGCGCCTAGGCCGCAGCTACATTTTCATCATTTTTTCGCGAAAGCTTCAGAAAAGTGGATGAGCTCCGGATCCGGTTTTTTGTTGACGCTCGTTTTCCCTTGCAAAAAACAATAGAAAATGAAAATTCTTGTTTTTACTTGATCAAATTGCAAGAATCCCTTGCAAAAAATAAGGTAAAGTGGACATTCGTGCGCGCAAGACGAAATCCTTCCAAAACCTTAGGTTTCGTAGCGATTTTAACATAAAAACATCAAAAACCCAATGGTTTTCTCAGAAAAAATTGTCAAAATGTCCTTCCGCGCGCTCTTGCGGATTCCTAGGAAACCCACCAGATTTTAAACATTTCTGTTAAAAGGGCCTTTGCGAGGAACCTTTTCAGGTGCTTCGACCTTCTGCAACAACGGTTGCGAGCCTACGAGGGCCACCATCCCTTGCAAAAAATGACACGAAGTGCACATGCGCGCGGCCGCCGCGCGCGCGTGCCGAAATCCTGCCAAACATAATGTGATTTCAATAATTTCAAGATGCGATGTTCCGAAAACATATGCAAACGCAAGACTTTCATCATCCGAAAAATATCAAAATCCACCCGCGGGCTCTTCATGAATCTGTTAACAACCCAAGATGGCAAGATGGCCCCAAGAGGCGCTCAAGATGGCCCCAAGAGGCGCCCATGAGGCCGCAAGAGGCGCCCAAGATGGTCCCAAGAGGCCCCAAGAGGACTCCAAGAGGCCCCCAAGAGGTTCCAAAGAGGCTCCAAGTTGGCTCCAAGAGGCCCCCAAGATGGCCCCATCCCTCAGGAAGTTGCCCTAAAGATGTGACCGACTCCTCTCTCTCCTTCTCTCTGTCTCTCGCTCTTTCTCTGCTTCATATCTATCATACGTAACACATCTACTTGTGTAATCGCCTTCCCAGGAATTTGCCTCAAGAATGTGACCAACTATCTTGGCACTGCGTACCATCTCACGTGTACCGTGTACCACATCTTCTCAGGTTGCCTCACACATGTGACGAATCTCTTTCTATCTCTCTCTCCACTGGCTCTCTGTCTTGCTCTCTCTCTCTCTCTCTCTCTCTCTCTCTGTCTCTCTGTACTATGTATGTCATACGCAACAAATGCACCATGCGGGGCACATGCGGGGCCCAAACAAGTGATCAACCTCTGCGGGTGTGTACTCCACGCCAGTGTAGTATCCACGATCGTCCGCGCGCCACGAAGTGAAGTGTCCTGACGTCATAGGGCGGGAAGCTGGGTGTGGGTGGTTCCCGAGAGTCGTGTGGATGTTTGGTAGAGCTTGCATTGCCCCCCCACGAAGTGGGGGTATTGGCTGGCGTCGCATGAAAACCCTGGCACTGGGGAGAACACTGAGCGTTCGGGTAAAATGATTGTTGTTGTTGTTGTTGTTGTTGTTGTTGTTGTTGTTGTTGTTGAACTCTCACTTCTGAAGAATATGTGTTGTTGATCCACCCTCGCCGGTGCAGACTGTTTTTTCTGAATCAAAGTGTGCCCCTCGACGTTCGCACCCTGTTTTTTGATAGGGGAAGTCTTGGTGCTCAAATTGTGCCCCTGGCCCCCCGGATTACAACAACAACAACAACAACAACAACGGCTTCCGCTTGAGATTTCCTCCAAATTTACTCAGGACACCCGCCCCTGAGACTTCCTCACAATGTACTCCGGATCGGTGTTCCCGCTTGTGAACTCTCGCAATTTAGTCAGGACCCCCGCTCCCATCTGAGACTTCTTCACAGTTTACTCAGGAAAGGCGCTCCCGCTTGAGACTTCCTCGCAATTGAAACAAGACGCCCTCGCAAATTAATCAAGACCCCCGCTCCCGAAAGAGAACCCTTTCACAATTTCTTTAGGAATTGCGCTCTCGCCTGTGACTTCCATGCGATGTATTCAGAAATCGCGCTTTCGACGCTCAGGAAACACGCTGCGCCAAGGACGCCGTTACAAATTACTTAGTAATCGAGCTCTCACCATACTCAGGCATCCCGCTTGAACTTCCCACCCGCCCGACCCGCCCGTCAGGGGATCGCCCGCCCGTCGTGGGCTCCCGCCCGAGACTTCCTTCAGGAACGGCGCTTTCGCCTAGGAGGGCGGGTATCAAGGGTGGGGGGAATTCGTTTTTAAAGACACGCGGGTAAGTAAGAGCGAACAGTATTACAATAATTGTTGTTGTTGTAGTTGTTGTGATTTTTACTGCTGCCGTTGAACTGCCATTTTTGAAAGATAATTTGTGTTGATCCCCCCCGTCCGGTGCACATTGATTTTTTCGATTGAAGTGCCCTTCCCGGGGCTCACAACTTGTTCCCCCCCCAGGAAAGTCTTGGGGTCAAATTGTATTGTCGGCCCCCGGTTTACTACAACAACAACAACAACAACGGCACCCGCCTGATACTTCCTCATGATGTATTGAAGATTCGCGCTCTAGCTTAGGACTGCCTTGTAATTTACCGCCGGATCGCGGCTCCCGCTTGATACTTCTTCACAATGTATTGAAGAATCGCGCTCTCGCTTGGTACCACCGAATCGCGGTTCCCGCGTGATATTTCCTCACAATTTATTCAGATGCCGCTCCTCGACACTCAGGACTCGCGCTCCCGCTACATATTGCCTGGCGCATCAAGCAGAATTGACGCTTCGAAGACCCGCCCGCTCGACCCGCCCGTCTGGGCCTGCACGCCCGACCAGCCCGTTAGGGACTGCAGTCGCCGCTTGCTGCCCTTCGCCCGCCTTGGATGCCCCTCGCTGCCTGTATTGGTTCCGCGGTCGCCTTCGCTCGCTGCCCTTCGTGGCCCCGTTGCTGCCCTCAGTGGCCCCGTCGTTGCCCATTGTGGCCCCGCATTATATGCCCTTCGTGGCCCCCGCTCGCAGTCGCCCGTCGTGGCCCCTAACGCATGCCCTTGTACATGTATATGGATCTGTAGATGCATATATATATATGTTTATGTATGTGTACATGTATGTACATCTATCTGTAACAACGTATATCATGCAATGCAGACCCGTCCTCCCTCCAATGGTCATGCTCCCACTCCTCTGTTTCCTCCTCTTCAGCCTTATCTGAGCGTGGAGTGCGGGAGAGCCGGCGTGAAGTGGAGCGGAGGTAATTTTGGTGTCGCCGTTTTTTGTTGCTCTTCTGTCCTTCTATCCTCTTCCTTTGTCCGCCCTTGTCTCGCTGTGCCAGTGCCCTTATTCATCATTTCCGATCACTCTTCTTCCTCCCTCCCTCCGTCCCTCCCCCTCTTTCCCCGTACATCCGATGTCTTGACTTGATCACCACGAAGTCCCCGAAAGTCGTGGCCCTTTCCCCATGGCCGGCTGCGTTTCCTCGTGTGGGGCCGCTCTCTGCTGACAGTCTCCAGGGCCCGGCGGGGGCCCACACGGCAAACAAGCAACGCGTCATGGTTCGTGCAACAATGTGGCCCAGAAATCCGATGCTCTGGCTTTCCAGCGCGGGGTCCCTGGAAGTCCGGGCCCTGTCCGCAGGGCCCGTTTTCCACCCTTTTTTTCGGATGGTTCCAGGGCTTGGCAAGGGCCCCCAGAGGCCGAAAAACAAGGAGGAGGAGGAGGAGGGGGAGGAGGAGGGGGAGGAGGGGGAGGAGGAGGAGGAGGAGGAGGCCACTTCCGCATCGAACTTCTCGACACGCTGAAAGGTTGGGTGGAGGTCTGGGAGGACGGAGCGCCACCGAAAAAGCCTCCGACCGACGCGAGGCACCGCCCCCGGCCCAGACCAGCTCGCACGACGAGCGAACAGCACACGCACATACACCCATCGGAGGACGCGCAACGGGGGGCCGATAATCAGGCGCGACAGAAGGGCGCACACGTACATGAATCCACGCTGCCTTCGAGAGTACGCGTTGCGCAGATGTTCGTATATACGCGGCCGGTCTCGCGGATCGAGGGGCCGTGTTCCTGTACATGGCTGGGCGCGTGCGTCCTTTGTGGGCTCCCTGGATGCAGAAGGGGGGGGGGCAGCAGGGGCTGCCGGACAGGGTCCCTTTTCGGGCCCTTGAAGGGGGGCCCTTCCGGGCACCAGAAGGGTGGGGCCTCCGGGGCCCGGGACGGGCCCCTTTCTGCCCCCCCCCCCAACCCCAGTCACGGCCCCCCCGAGGGCCCCATGCCATGCTGGGTGCGTGCTGTCGGCTGCGGAGGCCCCCGCTCGAGCGGAAGCCTCCCCTGGCGGCCGACAGCACGCGCCGATTACCCACAGCGAGTCCTCCCCTCTCCCAAGCCCCCCCCCACCCCCCCCTCTGACGAACGATCAACACGCACCCATTCCCATAGGGGAGACGGAATGAGCTATGGGTGCGTGCTGTCGGACAGGGGTCCCCGCTCGAACGGGAGCCTCCTCAGGGGTCCGACAACCCGCACCCATACCCATAGCCAGTCCTTCTCCCTCCGACCTCCCTATTGGTATGGGTGTGCGCGTGTGTTGTTCGTTCGTCGCACTCTGGGTCTGGGTTTGGGTGCTGTTCCTTCGCCGTCGCAGCGGCTCGGCCGGCGGCCGGCACGCCCTGCGCTGCCGTGTGCGTGTGCGCGCGCCGCCGCGCAGTCTGTGGGCTGCATCTTCGCGGAGATCATCTGCTCGTGTGCGGGGAGGCGGCGGCGCTCCCCCCTGTGGTGCGGCACGGTCGCGCGGCGTGGGCGCGCCGGCGAGGCCGGAGAAGGCGCTCGAGGTTTCACCCTGCGACGCGGAAGCACCGCTGGACACGGCAACGCCGTGGGGTCCGATTGGGTTGAGCTTTGAACCATCGGGGTCGCGATGGACTCACGGCTGCACGATCGACGCGGTGTCAAGAGCCTTCGCGCGCGCCGACGCCGCGCGAACATACCGTCGGGAGCTTTTGGATAGCGCGCAACACAGTTGGTGCAGAAGGCTTGTGGTGTTACGATAGATTTTGGGGTGTGCAAGACATTCTGGTGCGCAGAATGTATTGCGGGGTGCTCGCGTGCAGTACCTCAGCTGCCACACAGTGCGCTGCAAGTCTCTGGCGCAAGACACTGGCAATACAATCGGGCCAGGCGAAAGGGGGGGATTGGGAAAGGGGGGGTTACGAAATTTGCTGCATGCAGCTGATTTCGGCCTCACCGATGGGCCCATTCCTCGATACATAGTCGCCTCCGGCGCCGGGAGGCGCCGGGAAATCAGCTACGTGAGCTGATTCTCAAACCCCCCCTTTGCTATCCCCCCCTTTCGCCCGACCCGATACAAGTGCCCCAGACCTCCTGCACCACCCCCTCTCCGCCGGACCCCCTTTCGGGTCAACCAAAAGCTCCCGCACGTGGTGTGCGTCCGCGGCTGGGAACTTTTGGCCAGCGCGCCGCGCCGCCGGGTCTGGCCCGCCACGCCTCGGTCGGCGGCGCCGACAGGGGCGAATAGCCCAGGGGCGGGCACCGCACGCCTTCGACCGGGAGCCTCCTCCAAGGCACAGAATCTCGGCGCACCTGGGCTCTCCCCTGGGCCATTCGCCCTTGGGCTCTCCCCCGGAGAGGGGAGGGGGACGAGGAGGAGGGGGAGGAGGAGGAGGAGGAGGAGGAGGAGGAGGAGGAGGAGGAGGAGGAGGAGGAGGAGGAGGAGGAGGAGGAGGGAGGAGGAGGAGGAGGAGGAGGAGGAGGGGGGAGGAGGAAGGAGGAGAGGAGGAGGAGGAGGGGGAGGCGGAGGAGGAGGAGGAGGGAGGAGGAGGAGAGGGAAGGGAGGAGGAGGAGGAGGAGGGGGATGAGGAGGAGGAGGAGGAGGAGGAGGGGAAGGAGGAGGAGGAGGAGGAGGAGGAGGAGGAGGAGGGAGGAGGAGGAGGAGGGGGGAGGAGGAGGAGGAGGAGGAGGAGGAGGAGGAGGAGGGGAGGAGGAGGAGGAGGAGGAGGAGGAGGGGGATGGAGGAGTAGGAGGGAAAGGAGGGAGGAGGAGAGGAGGGGGAGGAGGAGGAGGAGGAGGAGGGGAGGAGGAGGGAGGAGGAGGAGGAGAGGAGGAGGAGGAGGAGGGAGGAGGAGAGGAGGAGGAGGAGGAGGAGTAGGAGAAGGAGGAGGGGGAGGAGGAGGAGGGGGAGGAGGAGGAGGAGGAGGGGTGAGGGAGGAGGAGGAGGAGGATGGAGGTGAGGAGAGTAGGAGGGGGGAGGAGGGGGAGGAGGGGAGGAGGAGGGAGGAGGGAGGAGGAGGAGGAGGAGGAGGAGGAGGAGGAGGAGGACGAGGAGGAGGACGAGGAGGATGGGCTGTTCTCCCCTCTCGTCGCTTCTGCTTCGGCGCAGCAGGCGGCCCACCCCACGATGCGGGCGGTCCCCTGCTACAGAGAACCACCATTGCCTGTTCAGGTTGTTCAGTTTAGGAATTCCGGCGGAGACTGGGCAAACGGAGGCGGCCGCGTTTGTTGCTGCAGCTCCTGGAGTGCGAGCCGCCACCCCCGCCCGCTGCCTCGGCGGCAGAGGTGGAGAGGCGGCGGCGCCGCCGCCAGCGCCTCGCGGCGCGGCGGCGTGACGCTGCGGAGGCGCCCGCCCCCTGCGGCGGGTGCTGGCGCTGGAGCTGCTGCCGTCGGTGTTGCCGTGGGGCTGGGTCAGGAGGGAAAGAAACACACAGACACAATTAATCCGCGATTCCCAGAAAATATGGGAAAATATGGGAAGTGGGGGGGAAGACAAAAACCCAGAAGATGTGGGAAACTATGGGGGATCTTTTTGTTTTTGTGTGTATTTATTTGTGTGTCCCAGTTCCCCTTCACTGGGGCTCGCGACAATGCCCCTGGGCGGCGGCGAGGCGTCGGGCCTCCTCGACGAGCGGGCGGGCGTGCCGCCGCCGCCGATGCAGAGGCGCGGAGGCGGCGGCAGCGCACCCCGACGCCGCGGCCGGCGACGCGGGGAGCGGGCGGCGGCGGAGCTCTCGGGCGGGGAGCGGGCGGCGCTGCGGACGCGCCCCAGGACTCAGGAGGGGAAACAACACACAGACAGACAATTAATCGTCGATTTCCCCGGAAAATATAGGAACATATGGGAAGTGGGGGGGAAGACAAAAACCCCAAACATGTAGGAAAATTGTGGGAATCTTTTTATTTGTGTGTATTTATGTGTGTGTGTGTATGTGTCCTTGGGCCCCTTGAACGACGGCGTCCGCGGGGGGGCCCTCGCGGAGCTGGGGCGCCTGCTGGAGCTGGAGCTCACGGCGGCGCGCGGCGCCCGCGCGCGGGCCCGCCACGTGCCTGACCTCGTTCTCTCTCTCTCTCTCTTGTTGTTTGTGTTGTTTGTGTTTTCTCTTTCTCTCTCTCTCGTTCTCTTGTTTGGTTTCTCTCCCTCTCTCTCTGTTCCCCCCTTCGCCGGCCTGCGCAGGCACCCGGTTGCACTGCAGTCACCACGCACGGGAATCTAAAAACAAACAAGTTTTCGCTCTCTGGCCTGAAGCACAGCCCTAGATTGGCATCGCATGTGCCGATCTCCAGGATGCCATAGCTCCTAAGAGACATTCCTAGCATTGTCATCGCTGTGTGTTTGTCGATCTGATGGGTTGGAATGAGATCGAGCAGTTTGCCTTCGCAGCGAGGACGACGTCGCCATCGTCGTCGAATTTGGTCATCGACGTCGACGTCGTCGCCGCCGCCCGACACGAATCCGCTCCAGAACCTGTCTCCCGAGACATCCTGGGGTCCGCTTCTTGGACCCCGGGAGGCGGTAGATACCGATATATGCGGGCATCTCGGGGCCCAAATGTGAGGTCAGGGCATTTTAGTTAGCGTGTCGCTCCGCCAGTGCTGGCCCACCACGCTTCGGGGTGACTCGCTTTTCAGTTTCTGGCCCCCCAGCGCCGATGTCCAGGGCCGTTCCCAGCCTCCCGCCTCGCGGAGCGTCGCGACACGCTATCCGCTTGTAGGGCATAACCGTCGAGCGTCGTCGAGAACCGTCGAGCGTCGTCGAGAACGAAGGATTGCAAACAAACGAAGGATTGCAAAAAAGGATTGCAACAAAAACCCAAGGATTGCAAAACAAACCTGGATTGCAAAAAGAAATAAGAATTGCAACAAAAACCAAGGATTTAAAAAAAACCCAAGGTTTTTTTTTGCAATCCTTGTTTTTGTTTGCAATCCTTCGTTGTCTCCGGCGGGCGGGCGGAGGGTTTCTTTTCCTTCACCGAGCGCAGCGCTGGCCCCAGACGTCCGACGTTCTGATGTTTCCGTAGGGGGTCTCGGGAAGTCCCGGCCGCTTCCCCACTGGGATGGCCGCGGGGGCTGCGAAGGGACGGGGGAGCTACAGCTAAGTGGATGCCGAGGCTGTCATGTCTGGCCCAACTTGGCGTACAAGTGGATTGCACGGGTGCCCCAAGTGGCGCAGGGGGGTTGGCGATCCGGGCTAAGTGAGCTCCGTCTGGCTTTACGTAATCCCCCCTAAGCAATTTACGGCAGTTGTTACCCACTGATGAGCCAGGTTGGGCCAGATCCAGCCGCCTTGACATCCGCTCCTAGCCCCCCCTATCCCCTTAGCAACCCCCGCAGTCATCCCAGGAGGGCTGGTGGCTTGTGCCGAGTTGTTTGTCGACGGTCCTTGTGCCCGGCGAGGGCCCCCCGAGGCTGAAAACGGTGAAAAACCGACCGCTGTGTTTCCCCAATCAGTGCTTGCACTGAAGGAGTCCTAGCGGAAATTGAAAGATTTGGCAGAAGTATCCCGCCGATTTTGGTGGCCGCCTGGGTTTCCCGGTGCCGGGTTCCCGGGTTCCTGGTCATCGGTCCCAGGCCGATTTCGGTGTGTTCCGGGTTCCCGGGTTCCCGGTCGATCTCTTTATCGATCTCTTTATCGATCCCACGATTCATCAAACCATCCACTGATTGTTTTTTTTTTCTGGAGTAGTATTATATTCCACGCGAGGAGCGTGTCTGGGGTCTTGCCTCAGGCGGCAGCCCTTCTTCGGGGGCAGCATCGAGAGCCCGAACAAGAGCCCGACGGCCATGGTCGAGGACGGCCTATCGCCCCGCGGGCGGTGCCACCTGACCTATCGCCCCCTCGCGGGGGCCTCGAGGATACGCAGAGTGTTTGCTTGGACGCATGCTCTTCGGGGCATGGCGCCTCTTCTTATCTCATTACGTCCCTGGCCCCCCCTTGGGCCGCTTACATGCCGCCAGCCACGATTTGCACCCCCCTCTCTTGGACGCCCGCCTCTCGGCCGCCCCCAAGCTCTGTTTCTGTTGAGCCTTCTTGAGCGTCCTCCTGTCAGGAGCGACGTGAGGGAGGGAGAAGCTCAGGGGGAATGGTAGTTTTGAAGTTCTTGATTTCCGGCCGTCTTCGTGAGATCTCGGTGGCTTCCTATCCTTGGGGTGCTCTCCAGCAGCTGCGCCTCGCCGAAAGCGTGTTGGGGGTGCCCGCATCTTCCCGAACGGCCGCCAGAGGCCTGAGGTATGAACCGAAAGCCTCAGGGGCAACGTTAGGGGGTTGGGCTCAGGGGGGAGCGCATCGACCCCCTATCGCTCATTTATCGCCGATGTGATCCCGATAGCACACCCAGCCCAGGAACACGAGGCTCCGCTACCCGGGGCCTCTCGCCGGTCTATCGGATAGATATATATATATATATATATGTGTATATATATATATATATATATATATATGTATTCCTCTTCCTATATGTTTACAAGCCCGGGCGGGGGGAAAACCCATCACGCCCCCTCCCCCCAAAAAACTGGACTCCCGGGATTTGGGGCTTTGGGACCCTCCGGACGGGCCTCGAAGCGGTACCCGGGCCTCGCAGGGCGTTTTGCCAAGCCTTCCCAGCACACCTAGGGCGATCAGGGGGGTCATCGGAGACGTCCCAGAGACCCCCAAGACAGCACAAGAGCGCTCCAAGAGTGACCGACGTGGCCTCAAGATGGCCCAAAAGGCCTCCAGGACGGCCCCAAAGAGGCCTCCAAGAGCACTCCCAAGAAGGCCCCAAGAGGCACAAATCTTGATTTCTGTTGGTTTTTGCTGAATTGTGGGGTTCTCCTCTTTTCGGCTTCCCGACGCTCCAAGACGGCGGTCTTCTGGGCTTCCGAAGCCGCCTGGGAGGCTCCAACATCGCCGCACAACCATCCGAAAGGGCTTCCAGGCAGTCCAAGAGAGCCCCAAAACGGCACAACACGGGTCCCTCAGAGAGCCCCATGGCGGCCCAAGATGGCCCCAAGACACCCTCCGAAGCATTCCAAATCATGACCCGGTCGTTCAGGGAGACCGCGGTTGGAGGCAGGGTGGCCCGAGGAAGTCCCCAGAGGCCCCCAGCATACGCCCAGGAGGCCTCCAGAAGGCCTCAAGAAAGCCTGAAACAACTTTTGTGAGGCCCCCAGAGGCTCTCCAATGAGGAGCCTTCGCAACAAAGAGCTGAGGAGGATGGGGAGAATGCGCAGGGTACGGCGAACATAAGGAAAAATAAGCATGGAGGAAGGATAACGAATAACATTATTATAGCGGCGATGCCAGAAAAGGCAACAAGGAGTTATCTCTAAATTGTCGGCTTGACCTTCCTGCTATTCCGCCTGCATACCAAACTTCAAGGACCAAGGTGCATGGCGCGAAGCGCCACTGAAGTCTTGTATATATATATATATATATATCGCTGATTCCAGTTCGATGACTCCCAGCCCCTAAGCCAGTCCCGCTCCTATCGTTCCCCATCACCGTCGCCACGGCTGGGTCCTCTTCGGAATTCTGGTCAGGTCGCTGATAGCGACGGTCGCCGATGGCGTTTGTAAGCTTTGAAAACTACAGGAAGAATTCTGCACGCTCCGCATATCCCCACCAGCCCATTCAGAAACCCTGGCCTTCAGAGCTGACGGGAAAAGGGGCGAAGAGACACATCTAGGGAAACAAAGCGAGCAAGGGGGGGGGGGGCCTTGGCAGCCCTCTTCGGGCCATCCCTGGGTGCCGCGTGGGGGCGAGGGGAAGAGGAGGAGGAGGAGGAGGAGGAGGAGGAGGAGGAGGAGGAGGAGAAGGACGAGGAGTACGAGGAGGACGAGGACGCGGATGAGGACGAGGACGAGGATGACGAGGACTAGGATGAGGACGACGCGGACGAGGACTCATGGAACCATCTAGAGGTATTATTGCGGCTGCTGCTGCTGCTGCTGCTGCTGCTGCTGCTGGTGTTCTTTGGGAGTTTGGGGGGCCCTCTTGGAACCCTCTTGGTAACCCTGGAAGGCTTCTTGGGATCATCCCTCAGGCCATCGATTACAGGATGGGGGGTCCCCAACTCAGCTCCCCCCTCAGGAGCCAGCAACCCGCTTCTTTGGGCTCTCTTGGAGCGCTCTTGGAGCGGTCTTGGGGAAGTTTGGAGCATCTTGGCAGCCGTCTTGAGCCAGCTTGGGCTATCTGAGCCATCTTGGAGCTCATCTTGGGCTCTCTGAGGCCGCTCGGGGGCCTCTTGGGGGCCTCTCGGGTGCCTCTTGGGGCCCTCTTGGGACCCTCTTGGAGCCCTTCTTGAGGCTCTCTTGGGGCTCTCTTGGGAGCCCTGGAGCGCCTCTTGGGGCCATCTTCGAGGCTATCGATCCAAGGAGGGTCCCGATCGAGGTCCTCCCTCGGGGGCCACGATCCTCGTGAGGGGTATCAAAAATCAGAAAAAGTACCCTCAAACGACCAGCGACATCCCCCCTAACAGTCCAGGGGAGGGGGTAAGGGGGAGGGGTAAATTTCCCCCCGAAGGGGACGAGGGGTTTTTGGAAGAGGAAAGAAATAATCTCGTTAGACCACCTACTCCCAGAGGGCTGGTGGCATTCAGCACCAACGCTTGGACGGGTCCCCCTATCCGCAGAAGTTACCGAAGGCTCCTCGAATCCCCAAAGCGGCAAAACACGGATTCGGACCTCGGTCCTCCTCCTCCGCCTCCCAGGTTCCGCGTGCAGCGAGGTCTGAACTTTGGCCCACTGCAGTGGCTTCAGCTGCACCCTGCTCGTGCGTTTCCGGGTAGTGGCGGTGCCATGTGGCACGGAAGTCCCATCCCGTGGAGCTTCATGCCTATTCTTGGGCGGGGATCTTCGGATCAGAGCATGCGCAGGATCTGGTGCCAGCGCGGACTCCGATTTCACGTGCCTGTCGGCGGTTTCCCCAAGCTGGCCCTGCTGCTCCTTGGAGCATGCGGCAGGGTATGTCCCTCATCAGAGCAAATTTCTTTGTTGGGGTGCGCTCTGTCGCTGGCTTTCCTGCGGTGTTGGTGCTGTCCGCGCAGGTGCGCGTGCAAAGAGCAACCTCCCAAGGAGCCGCGAGCCGCTTCTCACTGCCTGGGCCTCCTCTGACCTCCCTGCAGCCCGTGTCGCTCCCCGTTCTCGTTGCCCTCCGCCTCCTCCTGCTCGTCCTCCTCTTCCTCCTCCTGCTCTGCCTTCTCCTCCTCCTCCTCCTCCTCCACCTCCTCACCACTCCTCCTCCCCCTCCCCTCTCCACCCCAGACATGCCCGCGCTGCGAAGCAACGCACGACGGACGGTTTTGAGGGCCAGTGTTGATTTCCAGAAGCCCATGCCGGGCCCCAGGGCCCTCAGAAAACGGTTCGGAACGAAACACCGCCCCTGGATACAGGACCGTCGGGACTCCCAGAGACCCCGCACGGAACAAAGATCAAGACAGCAGATGTCTGGGCCTCCTGTGACGAACGAACAACACGCACCCATACCCATAGGTGGGACGGAGGGGGCTATGGGTGCGTGTTGTCGGATGGGGGTCCCCGCTCCCATACCCATAGCCAGTCCTCCTCCCAACATCCCCCCCTATGGGTATGGGTGTGTGTTGCTCGTTCGGCCTCCTGCTCCGCGACAGCACCGCGAACGAACTCTGCGGCCGATCCTGTTCGAGGCCACGGCCTCCGGGCCGTGCCCTCGCGGGCGCGGGCGGGCTCCCAATTGGAGCGCGCACGGCTGCGGCGTTCCACGCACCCCTCCCTCCTCCCCCTCCTCCTCCCTCCTCCTCCCTCCTCTCCTCTCCTCCTCCTCCTCCTCCTCCTCCTCTCCTCCTCCCTCCATCCTCCTCCTCCTCCCCCTCCCCCCCAGAGGAGATCTTCACGATCCTCGGCCGGCCCACGTCGTCGACATGGCCAGGCCTGAAGAGGCTCCCGCTGTTCGACTCCTTCAACACCGCCAGGAAGGGGGCTTCCCTCGCTGGGCTCCACGGCTCCTGCCTGCTCCGCTCCACCACCACCCCTTCCACCACCACCACCACCACCACCACCGCCACCGCCACCACCACCACCGCCACCACCACCACCACCACCACCACCACCACCACCACCAGCACCACCACCACCACCACCACCACCACCACCACCACCACCACCACCTCCACCACCACCACCGCGCCATGCATCCGGCAGAACGCGTGGGCGGAAGAGCGCCCGATTGGCCACTCTTCGGGTTTATGACATCAGCTGCGAGAATGCGGCACGCCAGGGAAACGGAGCATGTGACTCCCATGATATATCGGTCGCACTTGGCAGTGAGGCAGGCCTGCTCCGCTCGAGGGAGGAAACAAACGCAATGAACATAAACTGCTGGCGCTCCGCGCGGGTTGCTTGGATCGGCGCTGGGCCCCACCTTTATTTGACAAGGATTCGAAGGGACATGAGGGTCCCCCGTTATGTGACATTGCCCGCGGCACCGCGTGGCTGGCGGTGGTCGTGGGATGCCCCGCCGTGGTGTCCCGATGATGTTCCGTGGTGTCCCATAATGTCCCGTGGTGTCTTGCGGTAGCCCATGGTGCCCTGTGGTTCGGAGTCCCGCTGTGTCCCGTGGGGTCGATAGTGAAGGCGACAGTGAGATCGATATTGAGATCGATAGTGAGCTTGATTGTGAGATCGTTATGTCGATAGTGATCGATGGTGAGATCGATAGTGAGATCGATAGCGAGATCGATAGTGCGATCGATGACGAGACTTGTAGTGAAGCCGATAGTGAGATCGATAGCCAGATCGATAGTGATATCGATGGTGCGATCGATAGTGAGATCGATATTGAGATCTAATGTGATATTGATGGTGGGATCGAAAGTTAGATCGGGAACGAGATATATAGTGGGATCGATAATGAGATCGATAGTGATATCGATTGTGAATTTGATGGTGGGACCGATAGTTTGATCGATTGCGAGGTCGAACGTGGGATCGAAAGTGAGATCGATAGATAGATCTATCCATTGAGACCGATGGTAAACACGATAGTGATATCGATAGTGAGATCGATCGTACTATAGATAAGATCGATGGTGATATCGATAGCGAAATCGAACGTGATATCGAATATGCTACTACTAATGAACTTGTTTGTGATACCGATGGTGAGAGGGATAGTGAGTTCGATTGTGATATCCATAGTGATTCTGATTGTGACATCGATAGTGAGACCGTCTGTAAGATCGATCGAGTGAGATCGATGGGGAGATCGATAAAGAGATCGATAGTGATATCGATTGAGATGTAGGTTCCTCCTCCCTCCGAAGCTGCTTATTACCCGAAGGCTGGTCGTGTACTTAGTTATGGTATCGGAGGTTGGGTGGTGACATCCGAGTTCAACGGAGAGGCCCTCACCGGAAAATCGGCTTCGGCTTCGTGCCGTGCGTGTGCGGTCGAGGGGAAGCTGTGCGGGCGGGCGAGAGGAATGATCCCAACCTGGCCAGGGCGAAACCGGGCTCAAGGACTCTGCTGCCCCCAGTTGGCCCGCGGTGGGGGGGTGTCCCGCCCGTGTCCCGTGGTGTCCCATGGCGTGCCGTGGCGCGGTGACCCGCGGGTTTCCCGTGATGGCCTGTGGAGGTCGATAGTGAGATCGAAGGTGCGATCGATTGAGTGCGATCGATCGAGTGGGACCCGGCAGTGAGATCAATAGCTCTGGACGCCCGAAACGATTACGGAAAGAATGGGTACAATGCCCAGCAGCAGTTCCTGTTCATTTTGAACAGGGCTCGCTGTCCGCGCCGCCGCGGCCTGTGTCCATTCGAGACAGGAGGCCGCCTGCCCAACAGCGGTCGCTGTTGGTTTGGGACAACATTTGTTGTTGGGCATTGTACCCATTCTTTCCGTGCCCATTTCGGGCGTTCAAAATAGTGAGATCAATAGTCATGTCGAAAGTGGGATCGACCGTGAGGTCGATAGATATTGAGATCGGTGCGGTTTTCCGTGGTGGCCCGTGGAGGCCAAAAGTTAGATCGATAGTGAGACCGATAGTGAGATCAATAAACGAATAGTGAGATCGATAGTTGGATCGACAACGAGACCTATGGCAAGGACGATAGTGAGATCGATAGACAAATAGTGGATTGGACCGATGGTGTCCCGATGGTGGCATTCGTTTGTCCCGAGGGTGTCCCGATGGTGTCCTATCGCAGTTGTAATCAGTTCTCCCCCCCAGAACGTTCTGACCACCCGAAGTGCGGTCGAATAGGAAGATATAACATGTAACTGTACACATCGGTCATGGTTCCTTGGAGAAGGTAGTACTACCATTGCTAGCTGGGATGCGCGTAAGCGTGGGTGCAGCGTGCGTGGGTGAGTCGCGTCAGCGTGGGCGAATAGCGAGAACAGCTAGTTCAGATAGCCAAGAAATTGAGGAGCAGGAGGGGCAGTCATCATCCTCCCCTCCTTCCTTTTCCACCTCCAAGCTCCTTTGCCCCCTTCTCCTCCATGGCTGCTCCGATCGGACACCTTGGCCGCCAACGTCGGTGTGCTTGTCGTTGCCGTCGTCATCCGTCCTCTGTTGCCCGCCGTCTGTCCTGGCTGGTCAGCCTCCTTCTCCGTGGTCCGCCTTCGCAGCCGTCGTCGGACGTCTCCAGGCAAGAAGCGGACCAGTGCACCGAGACCCAGAAGCCCCGACGTCGTGAGTTTGCCGTGCCGTCGACCCCCAGAGGTCTAGACCCACGCCCCAGGACAACAGCGTTTCATCCCGAGTATAGTTTTTGCATGGCCCCGGGGGCCTGGCGGGGGCTCCGAAGAGGCCGACAGCTGCCAACCACCTCCCGTCGTGATTCGTATGACCCGTCGTCCGCAGTCGTTCGCCCTGGGGCGTCCGTCGGTCGGCGCCGTCGGCGTCGTCGCCCTCCCCTCCGCGACAAAAAAAGAAGACAGACACCCTTCAATATGGATTGTTCCTGTGCCGCGGGGGGGGGGGGGGGGCTGGTGGTGCATCAGTTCCACATCGCCACTGGGAGCCAGCGGCTTTCTACCCCGCCGCCCTCCCAGGAGGTACAGTCGGGGCCCTGAAGAAGGAGCCCTTTTCGTTGGGGAGGGGCTCCGTGTTCCTTAGTAGTTTCGCAGCTTGCCTCAGGTTTTCCTTAGGTTTCCGATCTGAAATCGAAGTTGAACTTATGAAAAAAAGGGGCCTCGTTCCTTATTTGGGGTTCCTTAGGTCAACGCCCCGACTGTACCTGCAAAGTTCTTCGAAAGGGTGTCTGCGTACCTCTTCTCGTGGCGCGCCCCCGCGGGCGCGCCTCCCCGCTAGGGTGGCAGCCGCGACCTCGCACCGGGAGCGCGCGGAGGGCGAGCGCCGCGGGGACGAGCCCGCGCTGTTGCAGAGGCCCCCCGCGCCGCCCGCCAAGCGGGGGCGGAGTCGGCGGCGGCGTCGTCGGCGGCCCCGGCGGCGGCGGCGTCGCCAGCGGCGCGATCGGCGCCCACTTCGGAGGAGAAAAAGGTACCGGTGCCGCTATCTGTCTCTCTCGTTTTCGCCGTTTCTGGCCCTCTGGGAGGCTCTCGTCGACACCGCTGGATTCGCCTCGCAAGTCTGGTCAGAGCGCACCCTAGTGGGGAGAGGCAAAGGGGAGTGGTCCGAAGAAGAATAAAAGCCATACACATACTTTTGGCGCTCCGCGCGGATTTCTTGCATCCGCGCTGGGGCCCCCAGGCGGCGCCTCCGTCGTCGCCAGGAAGGTGCGGATCCAAGAAATCCGCGCGGAGCGCCAAAAGTTTATGTTTATTCATGTGTTTTCTATCTTCGGCCCCAAGCAATCCAGGGAGCGGGTCCAGAGCAGATCCAAGACATCCGCGCGGAGCGCCGCTTCTCCTTCCACTAGTACAGTGGATGCCCATGCCAAGAAACACCCTGCTTGCCCTCAGGGTGCGGTTTCTTGGGTTTCGATGGGCTTGCCACGGATAGCGCGACGCTCCCACACCAAAAATCAAAATGGACGTCTTGGGGTCTCAGGGTTGGGCTCCTCGTGGAAGGTCTCTTGTGGTCGGGCCCCTGCTGTAAGGTGGCGGTATCGGTGCCTTGTGGCTTCCCCACAAATGGCGCCCCCTGCCGGGGTCTGGCGCGCCCGGTCGGAGAAGCAGCTCCGGGGGCCAGTTCCTGCGGCGGTCTGCCAGCGGCAGGCGGCGAGCTGCTGTCTGCCAGCGGCGGCGGCGGCGGCGGCGGCCGCCGTCGTCGTCGTCGTCGTCGTCGTCGTCGCCGTCGCCATCGTCGTCGTCGCCGTCGCCGTCGTCGTCGTCGTCGTCGCCGTCGCCGTGGTCGTCGTCGGGGTCGCCGTCGGGGTCGCCGAGGTCGTCGTCGGGGTCGTCGTCGCCGGCGGCTATGCCGGCGGCCCTCGGTCGTCGTTCACGCTGGCGCCGTCCACCTCGCCGGCCCCGTCGGCCGTCGCTGGCTTCGTCGGCCGTCGCCAGTGCGCGTGCTGCTGCAGGGGGGGCCCAGCGCCGCGGGGTGGCGTGCCCGCCAGGGGGGCGTCGGCCTCGTCGTCGCCGCCCGCGTCGTCGCCGCCCCGCCGCGAGCCTTCAGAGACCTCTGCGGACCCCTGGCTTCGCAGACCTCTGCGGATTCCTGGCTTCGCAAAATCATCATCAGCATCAGCATCAGCATCAGCATCATCATCATCATCATCATCATCATCATCATCATCATCATCATCATCATCATCATCATCATCATCATCAGCAGCAGCAGCAGCAGCAGCAGCAGCAGCAGCAGCAGCAGCAGCAGCAGCAAGCACCATCATCTTGGATTCGCAGATCTCTGACGTCTCGTGCTTTTCGGTCCGAGCGTTCCCTGAGACCCATGGCGTCTCAGTGCTCCCGCGCCCGGCGGGGCCCTCAGAGGTCGACCTTGCCCGGAGCACGGCGCAGGAAGGCTGGGGCCTGGGGCTCTGGTCGAGCCCGCCTGGCTTGCCTGCGATGCTGCAGTTCTCTTGAGGCGCCGGCCTGTGCTTGATGGCGGCCTCCATGGGGCCCGGCAGGGGGCCGGCGCATCGAGCAGGGGCCCCGGACGACACGCTGCGCTGGGAGAGTGGGTACGCGGCCCTCCTGGGGGCCGCGCACGGGCGGAACCACGTCGTGGGGTGTATGCGCTTCTCTCCTGAGGACTGCAGGCAGGCCAGCAATCGGCGGCGCGCCGATTGCTGGCCTGGGCCGACTCAGAAGGCCCAGAAGCCCCCTTGGCCTTCTGAGAAGTGCTCTAAGCCTCTAAGCCTCCCCCGGAGAACGCGGAGCACCTCTCAGAAGGCCGGGGGGGCTTCTGCGAAGCTCCGCCGCCTTCTGAGAAGTCCTTCGCACTTCCCCCTCCCGCTCGCCTCCGAAGGAAAGCAGGGCCCCTGGAAACCGGGACCCCGCCAGCGACGGCGGGAGAGAACGACGAGTGGAGGCTCCTGGAGAAGGTCTTCCTCGGCTGCAGGGCCCTCGGTTGCGCCCTCGACTTGGTCTTCCTCGACCTGCGCCTCCGCGCATCCTCGGCGCGTGAGGTGCTGGCGCGGTGCGGCCCCGACGGTGGCCGCCGCCGCGGCGGCGGCCGCCGCCGCGCGGCCCCTCGCCGCGCGGGGGGTGCCGAAGGTGCAGGTCCAGGGCCCCCCCTGTGGAGGAGGCTGGAGGCAGGAGGCATGCGACCGCGTGGAGGAGTTGGAGGAGGAGGAGGAGTAGAAGGAGGAGGAGGAGGAGGAGGAGGAGGAGGAGGGGGAGGAGGGGGAGGGGGAAGAGGAGGAGGATGAGAGGGTCCCCGGAAGCCTCCGTGCCCGGGGCCCCCGAGCACGCGGCCGAGACGAGGACCCCCCGTAAGCCTGCCTCGCTCCTCGAGGAGCCGGCGGCTCTGGAGCAGCGGGGGCCGCGGGGCGCTCCCAGCCGCCAGCTCCGAGATGGCCAAGACTCAGGATGTTCCAACCTACTTCAGCCTTGATCACCAGGAAGAGTTTCGAGCGCAATAAGAGTACCCCAAACCTCAAGGGTTTCGCGTGTCGCACCCTGGGAGACACTCGTCCGACGCTGTTTCGACACTAATTACTTCGACACTCTTCCGGGCGCTCGAAACGAGTTCTGGGACGTGGTCCTGAAGTACGATGGGAGCAACATTAGCCAAGACGAGGGCCCCCCTACTGGGATGACCGTGGGGGGTTCTAAGTGGATAGGGGGGTTAGCGCGAATGGCTTGGATTAGCTAAGTGGGCGGGCCTACTTAGGGATCGGTAACCCCCCTAGCTACTTAAGGGTAACCCCTTATAAGCCAGGCTGGGCCTTATGGCATCCAGTAACCTCCCTATCCACTTAATCACCCCCACGGTCATCCAAGTAGGCCTGCCTCGCTCCTCGAGGAGCCGGCGGCTCCACCGCAGCGGGGGCCGCGGGGGCGCTCCCGGCCGCCGGCTCCACGAGCCGCGGGGCCGAGGGCCCCATATATAGAGAGCGGCTCGAGGCCGCGGGGCGCCCCGGGGGCCAGCGCTCCCAGGAGAGTGCACGAGGGGCGAGGAGGGAGGAGGAGAGGAGGAGGGAGGAGGTGAGGAGGAGGAGGAAGGAGGAGGAGGAGGAGGAGGAGGAGGAGGAGGAGGAGAGGAGGAGAGGTGAGGAGGAGGAGGAGGAGGAGGAGGAGGAGGAGGGAGGAGGAGGAGGAGGAGGAGGAGAGGAGGAGGAGGAGGGAGGAGGAGGAGGAGGAGGAGGAGGGGAGGAGGAGGAGGAGGAGGAGGAGGAGGAGGAGGAGGAGGAGGTGGGAGGAGGAGGAGGAGGAGGAGGAGGAGGGGGAGGAGAGAGGAGGAGGAGGAGGAGGAGGGGAGGAGGAGGAGGAGGAGGAGGAGGGGGGGGGAGGAGGAGGAGGAGGAGGAGGAGGAGGAGGAGGAGGGAGGAGGAGGAGGAGGAGGAGGAGGCTGCAGATTTCCGCGGTGCTCTCCTCGCCTCCTTCCTCGGGGCCGTCGGCTGCGAATGTCCTTCTCTTCCCTCGGGGAAGGAAAAGGCGCCGTAAGTCATAACCACATAAACTGTTGGCGCTCCGCGCGGATGTCGTGGATCCTCGCCGGGCCCCCCCGCCTGAAGCTCCGCGCGCCAGGGAGGTGGGTCCAGCGCAGATCCAAGGAACCCGCGCGGAGCGCCAAAAGTTTATGCTCATGGCGTTGTGTCTTCTTCTATTCTCCGCGTGCGCGCCCCTCCGCGGATGGTGCAGTGCGCCCTGGGGGCGCTTCTTTGGGAGCCGCGCCCGCCGTGCAGAGTGGTAGCGGAGTTTTCCTACTGGAGATTCTGCCTCTTGCGTCCTCCCTGCTCCTTCCCTCCCCTCTGCTGCTCTTCATGCTCCTCCTTCTCCGTTGCCCCCGTTGCGCGCTTCTGTACAAGTGGCGGGCAGAGCAATTGGGGGATCCCCACGAAACTCGCTGGTCCGTTCTCCCTTCACCTCCCGCTCCTCGCCCTCCCCCCCCCAGAGCTGGTGCGTCCCGTGGCGGAGTCCCCTCTCCCTCAGTGGGGAAGCGGACTTTTGCTTCCACCATCGAGGCAGTTGGCCCATGAGACAGCCGCCTGGCTGCTCGACCCTCTGCCCCCCCCCCGCCCGAGGTGGTTCTGCTCCGGCGAGGGCAAGTGCGCGGACGTGAAGTACCGCCTCACGGAGAGCTGCTTCGACCTGCTAGGAGGGGCGGGGCGCGGCCCTGCGGCCCGCTCCAGTATAAAGAGATTGTGTGTTGCCTGTCCTCTGGCGCGCGACCCTCGCTACCAGGGCCCAAACTCCTCCCTCCTCCCGGGTATGTGACGGTAGCGATCGTACGTGTGCGTGGGGGGGGGAGGGAGGGGGGGGGAGGGGGGAGGGGGGGGCGCTGGACCCCCCCCACATGCTGGTGCTCTCTCGCGTGTGTCTTGGCGATTGCGGCGCATGTGCCCCACCCCGCCAAAGCGTCAGTTAATTACCATGGCCCCGGCGGCTACCCCCTTTCCCCCCCTGGGTAGCGACCGCCATTGGAAAGAACACATGAACACATTCCTTTGCCTTTGAAGGTCCTGAGAGTCGGGGGTGGGCTTTGTCCTCTTCTTTCTCGTCCCTTTTTCTCCTCTGGGCCCGAGCCTGGCCGAGCCAAGGGGGCACTGGCAGCGCTTCAAGCCGAGCCCTTCAAAATCAGCTGCCGGCCTATTGCTTTTCCCCCTTCTTCTGGATCGCCCCGCGAAGCGAAGACCACACTGTCCTCCAGCTCCGAAGAAGAAAACGCGGGGACAAAAAGGAGTTTTGGCGCTGCGCGCGGGGTTCTTGGATCCGCGCCGGAGGCCAAACATTAATGTGTATGCAGTAATTGATTCTTTCATGGCCACGTGCGTGATCTATAGGAGCCCGCTCAGCCTGTCGGACCGCGACCGCGAACGGGACACTGCCCATGAGTTCGGCCGCCTGGTCGCCATCCTTTTGGTGTGGGACACAGCGCCGCACGAAAACCCCGTACATGGTAGATGGCCTCCCGCAATTCCGCGCCGTCCGTTCTGGCTGGCAGAAGAACAACCATCTGAGTAACACGGCCTGCGATGTAAGCTTTTTTCCTGCACAGAACCACGGTGCCAACAGGGCAGGTAATCATCACATGGACACCACCAGTTTGTATCAGAGGGCGAGCTCGACCAGTTCGACCTAAAAGCAAGACGCATGACACAGCGCTGATGGCGCTTTATGTCTGCCCAAGAAGCCGAGACGGACGAGAACAGCACATCATTGACAACACCGCGCTCGCACTCGAGGACTTCACGGCCCGCCCACTCGCGAACTTGCTAGGTCGCACCACCCTGATCACCGGCGCGGGCATCGACGACGGCACAGGGATCGCCCAGATCATGACCGGCCCCTTGGGAGGAGGAGGAGGAGGCGGAGGAGGAGGAGGAGGAGGAGCAGGTAGACTCCCGGAGCGCAGGCCCGCACGCCGGGACGGAGGAGCACCATGCTAGAACACACGCGTGCGCGCCATCGTCGAGAACAACGACCTCGCCTTCGTGGACACACTCCCCCGTCGGCCCGAGCTACTGCGGCGTCGGAAAGAAAGGCAAGCAACACGCCTCATTCAGGAGGGGAAAAAACACACAGACACAATTAATCGTCGATTCCCAGGAAAATAATATGCAAAAATATGGGAATTGGGCGGGACGACAGAAACCCAGAACATATGGGAAACCATGGGGAAAATTCGGCGAAACACATCGAGAGAGAGGCCAATCACGCGACGAGCGAGTCTGCAACTTGAAGGCAGGGTCTGGAACAGGAGCGAGACGCAGAACTTTTCGCCACGTTGCGGGAAGCACCCCCACCGGGGACGAGGGGGTGGCCGACGTGGCGAAATCCGTGCAAGACGGCGGCGTGGGAGCATGCGAGATCAACGCGCAGGCTTTCATCGGCGACGCCAGCGCCAGCGATGCCAGTGCTGCCACCACCTTCGAGGACCTCGTGGAGGCAGCGGCCGACTGCCAGCGTATACAGGATCGGCAGCAGCAGCAGCAGCAGCAGCAGCAGCAGCAGCAGCCAGCGCCTTCCCTACCCTTCCCGGCGAAATCCAGGGACACTTTCGGAATACGGGAGGGGTAACATTTTGTTTTTTTTGAGGGGGATTCGCAAACTTTTAATTTAGGGAATTCGTGAACTTGTGTGTTCTTTGGGGGGGGTTCGCAAACTTTGAGATATTTGGGGGATTTGTGAGCTTTTTGTGCACTTCGCTCGCAACTGTTTTCGGCCCCCCGCGAAGCGGCCCAGAGCACCAAAGTAGACTGATAGCACGCTAGCTAGCGACGGCAGGACCCGAGCCCCCCTCGATGCTGCTGCGCTGCGCTCTCCTCGTGGGCTCTCGCCTTCCCTCCTGCGCCACGCTGGCTCGTCGCTGTGCGTGCTGCTGCTCGGGCTCGCCGCTCGCTGGCTCTCTCCTCCGTCTCCCCTCGCGCGATGGAGGGGGGGGGGGCCGTGGTCGGGAGGTTTTGGGTCCCGAGGCCGGTGTTACCGTCTGGGAGGGCTGGAGGCCAAAGATCTCGGCGATTGGCCGTTCCTGGGGTGGCTCAAGATCAGTTTCGGAGACACGCGTCTTGAGGAGTTGGTCTGTTAGCCCGTTTGTCAGTAAGTCAGTGCGTTAGTTCGTTAGTTAATTAGTTAGGTCGTCCTCCTTCTCGTCTCTGCTCCTCCTGCTACCTCTTCTCCCCCTTGCTCCTCGGGAGTCCAGGACATCTTGGTGCCGTTCGCCCTGTGGACCCCTTCGGGGGTGGGGCTCGAAGGGGAGCCTCTCCCCGGTCCTCTCCGGAGCCCCTCGGTCCTCCGAGGAGGATGAAGCAAGGTCCGATACGATCGCTCCGACTCGGCATCGATCCTGGCCGACCGCGGCCCCACCGACGACACCTGCCGCCCAAGGAGGAGGAGGAGGAGGAGGAGGAGGAGGCGGAGGAGGAGGAGAAGGAGGAGCAGAAGGAGGAGCAGAGGGAGGAGGAGGAGGAGGAGGAGGAGGAGGAGGAGGAGGAGGAGAGGGAGGAGGAGCAGAACGAGGAGGAGGAGGAGGAGGAGGAGGAGGAGGAGGAGGAGGGGGAGGAGGAGGAGGAGAGGGAGGAGGAGGAGGAGGTGCCTTAGCCTCGTGTTCGCCGTTCTCGGCCGATTCGGAAGCCCTTTGGCGGCCCTCTTGGAAAACCTCGTCGCCACCGCGGAGTTCGCTTCGAAGTTCTCATCAGAAAAAGCATCCCAGGAGATGCCCGGGGAGCAGCGGTGTCGGTGCCTTTCGGTCTCCCCAATATCCACCGCAGCTTGGATTTTCGGGCTCCCTTTCGAGAACAGACAGATAATCAAATCAGAAGGGGAGAAGACACACAGACACAGTTAATCGTCGATCCCCAGGTAAATATGGGAAAATATGGGAAGTGGGGGTGAAGACAAAAACCCAGAACATATGAGACAATATGGGGAATCCTTTTATTTGTGTGTATTTATTTGTGTGTCCCAGGCCCCCTTCAAATAAGTCAGCTAACTTTCTCGGAAGTCCGCGCGGATTGCTCGGATCGGGGGGGGGTCGCAGCGCCCCGCCGGGAAGCGGGCGATGTCACAATTACCTTCGCTGTGCCATCGCCGTCGTCGCCGTCGGGGCTCGCGGGCTGCAGCCAGCGAGCCAGGCGAGAAGCAAGTGTTCGTTTGACGGTCACTGCCCGAACTGTGTTTCGCCGCGCGCGTTCAGGATGCAGCTCCTGGGAGGTTCAGGTTTGATTCGGTGCTGGTATATGTCTGGTCGAGCACAGGTCGACGTCGGCTTGATCTCGCTCAGTCCCCGGATCAAGCTGGGTGAATCCAGCTCAATGGCCTTGCAGAGTAGCCCTTGACCGTTCTTTTTCAGTCCTGCGAGGAGTTTCCGTCTAAACCAGGGCGTTCCGGAACGGTCCCAGAGCGCTCCGGAACGCTCTGACAATGGCCGCGGCGCCCGATGCATCTCCCAAACCCGCGGCTTCCCCAGAGGCTCCCGAGTGAATTCTATCGGTCCGCTGCTGTCTCGCGCCTGCCCTCGCCTCACAGGAGGCCTGTTCACGCTCTGCCCCGCGGACCGCATCTCCACCGACGAGGCGCTGAGCCACCCGTTCTTCACGCAGGAGCCTCGCGCGCGCGCGCGAGGGCGCCTGCTGGGGCAGGCGGCGCGACCGCGCGGTCGCGTGTGGGCAGGCAGCGCGACCGCACGGGGCGCGCGCGAGGCATGCGCGAGGAACGGGGGCACGGGAGCGCGGCAGACCCACACGCCGGACCGCACGGGGCACGGCAGGGCAGCCCGGCAGACCGCGCCGGCACGGCGGGCCGGCACGGCACGGCGGGCCGCGGCAGCGCGGCAGACCAGCACGGCGGACCGCAGGAGCAGGGCGGGCCAGCACGGTGGGGGGGTTTGGCGTCTGGGGGGGCCCTAAGTTGCGCCCGTCGGCTGGCCCCCTCCGCCTGCCCTGGCCCTCTGGGGGCCGCCCCGTTTTTGTGCGTATTGGAGGGCTCCTCCTTTGAGCCTTGTAAGGCCCCGACTTCCGCTTGGCAGGGCAGAGCACAGGAGCGCGGCGGACTGGCACGGCGGACCTCGAGGTCACGGCAGGTTGGCACTGCAGACTCCGGGAGTAACAGGGAGGACGCTTTCTCAGAAGGCGGCGGGGCTTCTCGGAAGCCCTCGGGCCTTCGGAGAAGTTTTGCCCTGTCTTCGGCGAAGGTCAGAACATTTTTCACAAAGGCCAGAGGACTTTCGAGGCGTCCGAGAAGGCCCGCCACCTTTCCCTTCCCGCCTGGCTGCCCGACTTGTGCCCATGCCTCAGAGGAGGAACATGTACCGATACCGCCCCCAGAAATCCCAAGCGCACTGGATATGGATAAACAGCTGGCCGCAGCTCGATGTTTATCCATGTCCGGTGCGCCACGGGCTTGCTTCGCACCTGCCAAACAAGTCCAAGACGCACCAAATATGGATATGGATGCAAATGTTGCCCGCGTTCGAGGATCGAAAGAGTTGCCATCTCTTCCTCGGCGAAAGCCTGCGGAAGTAAAACGGGGGTGGCTCCGCCGGCGGGAGCCGGAGCAAGTCCAGTTGAAGTTGGCCCCCAAGAGGTAACAACATCTTTGGGTTCAGGGTTTGTTTCCGGAACCGGCCAAATGCGGACTATTTGGTGCTCGCGTCGCGAAACACGACAATGACGAACAGTTTTTTGGCCGCTTTCGGCTTCCGGGGAGCCCTCGCCAGGCATGGGCCGTAAAGAACCAGTTGGGATTCAAAGCTGGCCGTGGGGAAAGAGTTCGGGAGTTCTGGGACCTCGGGGCTTCCGGATTGGAAATTATCAAGACGTCGGATTCTTTGGGGGCAGTTCTCGGCGGTTTCCCCATCTCAGGGTGTTTTCCAGCAGTTGCGCCTCGCCGAGAGCGCCCCGGGGGGTGCTCGAAACGTCCCGAACGTTACGTTTCATCTTCGGGGGCTTTGTTTGTCCCCAACACGGGCATCTTCTTTTGTGCCCGACGCGCGCTCGATGCGGATTCGATGCCGTTGCACATGTGGCGTGGGTTCAACGCGGAGTCGAGCATTCCGTCATGGATTCGAGACTGATTCGACGCGGACGGGCGCGAAGGGACAACAAGGCCCCCCGAATACGCAACATAGCGAACGGCTGCTGGATGCTCGAGGGTCATCCGCAGACGTCGTCTAGATTTTGGAGTCCCGAAACGGTGCGGTGACGGACCGTGCGGTGACCTCGAAATCCCCCAAGACTTCACCGCACGGTCCGTCAACGCACGGTTTTGGGACCTCGGATGCCCCTGTCGCCCGAGACGTCCTCGGAGAACGAATCTAGCCCCAAAACCGCGCGGTGACCCCGAATCCCACCGACTCACCACACGGTGTTGTCACCCCCCCGTTTTGAGGGCCCCCGACAGACACCACCGCCGTGCCTGACCAGGGCAGCCCTGGGCCCCAGGACGCTTCGGGCGCACGCAGCACCGGTATGAAACCGGCATGAACATTGCATGGCAAATGTTGTGAGAAAAATTCAGAACCAAGAGAAAACTAAACAGGCCCACAAGGAAACTAAACAGGACCAACCTAAAACGTAAACAAGACAACGGGGAAAAGGTAAACAGGACCAGGAGAAAATTAAACAGGACCACGGGAAAACAAAACAGGACCACGGGAAAACTACAGAGGACCAGGACCAAACTAAAGAGGAAAAGTGAACAGGACAAGGAAAAAACCAAGCGGGCCTGACGCGCCTTGCGCTCTGGGTGCCTGTGGCCTGTGCGCGGCTAGATCCCGCCATGTTTCAGCCGGTGCGCTTGAAGGCACCGTGCGGGGCCCATGCTGGCCAAGATGCTTTTGGGGTGCCCCCCATTCCTTCCCATCGTCCTGCCCCCCCTGCTCCTCTTCGTTCTCCACCACTTTTCCGCCCTTTCCAGTCCTGGCAACTCTGCTCCTCATCCCCCTACTCAATCTCCTTCCTCCTCCACCCTTCCCTCCTCCTTCTCCCCCCCCCTCCTCTTCCTCCTCCTCCTCCTCCTTGTCCTCCTCCTCCTCCTCCCCCTCCCCCCTTTCCCCTCTTCCTCCTCCTCCTCCTCCTCCTCCTTCTCCCCCCCCCCCCTCCCACTCCTCGTCCCCTTCTGATCCCCTTCAGTTGCGGGGCGAACCCCCTGTCAGCCTTACGCGACAATCCTTTGGAGTGACGGAACGCGCCCCCTGGCGCACGCCCCTGCGCAGCGAGACGGCGCGACGCGCGGCATGGATTTTGGCATGAATTCCGGCATGGATCCGGTATGAATCCGGCATGGCAATGGCATGACAAATTTGCATAACCCAAATCAGTGTCCAATGGTGCGTGACAAATGTGCGCCGCATTTTTGTCATACACGTGATTTCGTGGTCGTCGCGCCACCCTGGACGCCCGTCAGCAATTTTTGTTCACGCCACCCCGCGGTTTCTCTTTCCATTTCTTTGGCGGACGCGAGGCGAATGGTCTTCACCCCTGGCCCCCCCGGACTTGGGCATGGTTGGCCAAATCAGCGTTACACCTTTGAACGTCAGGCGTGTCGATGTAGGACTGTTGGTCCCCAGGGGCGAGGGCGTACTACCCCTTACTCCGTGACGCGCCTCCACATCGTCAAAAATTACCCCAGTGCGACCCTACCTAGAAGTTGGAGCCCCTAGGAAAGCAGCATTAGTTGCTATGCCATGCCATGCTATGCTATGCTATGCTATGCTATGCTGCGCGGTGCTATACTGTGCTGTGCTGCGCTATGCTATGCTATACTATGCTATGCTATGCTGTGCTATGCTATGCCATGCGATGCTATGATATGATATGATATGTTGTGCTGCGCTATGCTGTGCTACGTTCTTCTATGCTATGCTGTGCTGTGCTATGCTGGAGTTCGACGAAACTAAGATGAATGCAAGCTAAGCTAAGATAAACCTGAGCTGAGATGAAACTAAGCTAAGCCAGGATGGAACGAGCTAAGCTAAGATGAGATAAGCAACGCTAAGCTAAAGGGGACGTCACTGGGGGAACCACGGGGCGGATGCCGGGGGAACCGCCCGGGGCGTTTTCCACTGCCCGGCCCTTTAGGAGAACAGGGCAAGAACCCTTCTAGGCAGAGCCTCGGTAGGGAAAAAATGGCACCGATCGATGGCGCCACGCGCGGACCCATGCGGAAACGCGGGCCTCGGTGTCTGCCGGCTGCGCCGTAGGCGCTCTCTCCGAGTCCCCAGGCGTCTGCGACGCATGTGAACTGCTCCAAAAGGACCTTCGGTTGCTCGTTTGGGTGCTACGACGCGTGCGAGGGGTGCGCCGAAATCGGCGGGGGGGACACATTGGAACAGTGGCAGCGGGACCTTCGGCAGAGCTCCATTCGGGGCCCTTCGCGCTAAACTTGCGGGATGGCCCACGCAACCTCAGAGGACCTTTGAGTGGTCAGTTCGGCAGCCCCCGCGCGGGCCGGGCAGGGGCGGGCGCATCTTCTCCGAGCGGCGCTAAACAAGTCTCCAAGTGCATCAAGCTGGCTCGCGGGACCCCGTGGGTCCTGTGAGGGACTTGGGGCGTGGTTTCGCCTAGGTGTGCTCGTCGTTTCAGGTCGGTCAAACAATGCATCCCTGGAGGTAGCATTTGAAGTTGCCTGGTCGTGCTTGTCATTGTGCCCATGGCGCTGCTTTAGTGATCTGGATGATGCTTGCATCCCGTAGCCGTCACATTTTCCGTTGCTGGCGTTTGGCGTACAACAGCTCCAAGTCGACATAGCCGCCCAGCCAGCCAACATCATGTGAAGTAGCTTCGTAAGACGTTTCTTCTGCATGCGCCTCTTCTGCGGGTCCGTGGGGGCCGAGACGTTGCATAGACCCTCCAGGGGACCTCTGCCGGGGAGGGCGTAATAGTATGCACCGTGCCAGCGCGGGCACGGTGGTGGTGCACAGGTGCCTTCTGCGAACCCTCAAAAATCCGACGCAGCGACAAAACTGCAACATCGCAAACATTCACCTGTTCTCGTCCTCCTCCTCCTCCCTCCTCCGGCTGCTCCTGCTCCTTCTCCTCCTCCTCCTCCTGATCCTCCTCCTCTTCCTCCTTCTCCTCCTCACCCCTCCTCCTCCTCCTCCTCCTCCTCTCTCCTCCTCCTCCTCCTCCTCCTCCTCCTCCTCCTCACTCCTCACTCCTCTCCTCCTCCTCCTCCTCCTCCTCTCCTCGCCCTCTCCTCCTCCTCTCCTCCTCCTCCTCCTCCTCCTCCTCCTCCTCCTCCTCCTCCCCCGGACCCCCATTTTCCGCGCCAGGTCTCTGGCCGGATCGATCGGCCAGGGTCCCGTGGCCCGAGTCTGGGCGAACACGCCCCGCTGGAAAAAAAACATGGAGACGTGAGGATACAGTCGAGGCGCTGAAGAAGGAACCCTTTTCGTTGGAGAGGGGCTCGCCTGGCGTGCCTATAGGCCTACCGAACAATGTTCTAAGAACCTTTTGCGGTTCCCACGAACTGTTCTTAGAACATGTCTTGTTGGGATTGTCTTGTTGTATCACGTCGGGTTTATGTTCTAAGAACATTGTTGTTGTTCTTAGAACATCTTTGGGTTCTGAGAGCACTCCGTGGTCGGACTATACAGTCGGGGCCCTGAAGAAGGAACCCTTTTCGTTGGGGAGGGGCTCGGTATTCCTTGATTGTCTCACAGCTTGCCTCAGGTTTTCCTTCTGTTTTCGGTGGGACATCGAAGTTCAACTCGTGGAAAAAAAAGGGCCTCGTTCCTTATTTAGGGTTCCTTAGGTCAACGCCCCGACTGTATCAGGGAAAGCCATGTCCTGAAAGCCGGGGATGCGACGCCCCGGAAAAATCGGCTCGGCCGGCTCGTCGTCACTTTTCGTAGGCGTCTGCACTGCGCGTCTCTCGGACGCGGGGGTCTGCAGCGAAAGCGGCTCGGGACTGGGGGAACGTCGGTCGAGAAGGCACAGGCCCGCGCATCGGGCAGAAATCGAAGCGCGGGGTCCTGGGGACCGAAGAACAGGAAACAGCATAGACATCATCTCTTTGACTTAGAGATTCGCGCGGGTTTCTTGGATCTGCGTCGGGCCCCCCCTGGCGGCGCCTCTGGCTCCACGCCTGGCGCGTTCCGTGCGCCAAGGATGGGGGGGTCCAGCGCCGATCCAAGAAGTCCGCGCAGTATCGTGCGGATCCCAGTATGTTTATGCAGTTGTTTGCTCTTCTATCCCACTGTCGTGGAGGAACCCAATCAAATGTGTTTATGCACTTGTTCGTTCCTCTGTGCCAGCATCGTGGAGGAACCCAAGAGAATATATGCATGCAGTTGTTTGTTCCTCTGTGCCTGCACCTCGTGCGTGCTGGAAGACGTCGTCGGCGAGCCCCGGGGAACAGGCGGGAGGGAACGGGCCTGCTGTCAGAGGGCTCGGCAGGCCTCCGGCCTTCTGCAGGGGAGGAGGAGACACCGCCCGGACCCGACAGTTGGCGAGCGTTGTTGTCTGAGTTCTTTTGCGGATCGGCGCAGGCCCTCGCATTTCCCCTCCCCTCTCCCGTGGGGTAGATAGTGGCTGTTTTGGTCGCCTGGCCTTGATGTGAGGTCCCTCCTTCTGCCCCCCTCTCGTTAATTCAAGCTGTGCGCGGCCCGCTTAGCTTCGACCGGAAGAGGTGCGCTCTCGACCCGCGGATCAAACAATTGTTTTGGTCGCCTGTTTCGAGCAGGTGGAGTGTCCCCCATAGGACGCACGGCCCCGAACAGTCGCACTAAACAGAGGTCCGGAGCCAGACACCCCCTCGCTCCCCTCCCCCTCCCGCCCAATGTCGAAACGCCGAATTTGAAAATAAAACAGCTCACCTGTTCGATTCCTTTTCTGGGTGCGTTTACTAACGGGCTTCGCTTGTCGAGGTGATTCTTATGGGGGTGGAGTTTCTCAGCCCTCTACTTCTGGTCAGGTAAGTGTTTTTGTTGGTGAACCTGCGCGAAGGCGTGGGATTCTTCTCAGAGGGCCCGAGGGCATCTGAGAAGCCACGCCGCTTTCTGAAAAGGCTTGCTCCTGCTCACTTCCCGCCCCCGGGCGCGCGACCGAGGAGTGCCTCGTGACCACGAAGTCCTCATCTGCTTTTATGTCGGGCATGTCCCTCTACAGAAGGTATATTCCAAAAACAGTCAGGGGACGATGTTTGGAGTATTTCTAATATTGCTTGATTATTTTCTGTGTTTGTTTATTTTCCGTACAATATCCGCGTGTAGGAGGACACGCCCGACTTAAATCTACTTTTAGGGTGCCGCCCAACTTCGAGGATCGCGTGGCGTTCCCTCTTCAACGGGTCGCACGGCTTTCCTTGGGCTTCCAGGGGTCGGACCGAAACGCAATCTACGTTCACCGCCTTCGTACCGTGCAGCCGTAGCACAGCATTACACGCCCGAGCCTCAAGCGTGAGCACCGAAGGAGTCGGCCCCGACTTGTGTAAGCGCTGCGCAGTTGAAACCCTTCTGGTTATAGCATGGCCCAGAGTCTGAAGCGAGATCGCAATTCTGAAAAATGATAGCTGTCCATCCGTGCATGTGCGATAGGCGAGTGTGCACGGCGTTCAGGCGATCGCCGCTTTTTGAAATACGTCACCCTCCACTCGTGTACTGCATTGCTGGAAGCCTTCAAGACCAGTGTCAGGCGCGAGCCGCATTTTGACAGCAACCCGCTCCCCACCCATGTAAGACACATAATGCTGCAATAGTTCAAGAGGAACCAGCCCGGCGCTGAGACGATAGCCATACTTTGAAATAACATCGTCCTGCTCACATATATTGCTGGAGCAGTTTAAGACGAACGCGTGTGCATCAGATGTGAGTTTCACGTTTTGGAAGCAAGCTGTCACTTATCAGGGTATTGCTGAACCTATCAAGCTTCAGAGTCATAAGCTTTGAGGAGGTCTCCAGGGAAACGCCCAGCCCATCCTGGCGACACGCTTGGTGGTGTGACGAGAAGGAGTTTTTCATAAGGAAGAGGGGTGGAGAAGCACAGAGTACGCTGGAGGAGGAGGAACTCCCCCTTTTCCCGCTCCCTCTTCTGCTTCTCCTGCTCGTTCTCCTCTTCCTCCTCTCAATAGACCTGGGCGCCGTGTTTTTTCACAACGTGTGTCCCCAGAGGTCTGTCCCGGCGACCGGCTTCTCATCCCGAGCCGTTGTCTGTCGGGGGCCCCCTAACGGGGTGGTGACTGCACCGTGTGGGGATTCGGGGTCACCGCAGGGTTTTGGTACTGGGGTCGTTCTCCGAGGATGCCTCGGGCGACTGGAGCCTCCAGGGTCCCAAAACCGTGTGGCGACGGACCGTGCGGTGAGGTCTCTGCGGATCTCGAGGTCGCCGCTGGGCCTGTCACCACGCGGTTCGCGGACCCCCAAGTCTGGCGCGCCCCCGGGCCCAGGGAGGGCCCCCGGGGGCCTATAGAGAACAGCCCGTAGTTGTGTCCCTTGCTGCGTTCTTCGCGGCGCGTGGAGGCCCTGGCCCTGCTCGGCCACAAGGGCCACAGCGCCAGCGGCATCAGGACCAGAGCCCCCGGCCCACTCCTCTCCGGCACCGTGCCCCGAGCCGCAGGCGATGCGTCCATCCCAGCCCCGGCTGGTCGACGGAAAAGTGAAGCGGTGGAGGAGAGAAGGGAAGCCCTGGGCTACACCCCCCAGGGGGCCATTCGGACGCACCCCCGTCGAGGATGGACGCCCCCCTCGTGCATCCCAGGGCCGGGCCCCAAATTCTTCGCCCACGAAGCCTGGGATAGGGGTCGACATCTTTCCTGCTGCCTCGAGCCGCAGCGGTCCGTGAGGGCCCCGGGGCCCGACACATGTTACCAGCCCGGAACAGATCCCTATCCCTATGCTGGGCACCTCCTCATCACGATGCCAGTCTTAGGGATTCCCTTATTTTTTGATGGCCAATCCCTCAGATTGTCATCGCCATGTGGCGTGTCAATCTTAGGGATAGGGATACGTTCGAGGCTGGTAAACATGGGCGACGCGGCGCCCAGGTGCGCAGGGGAGCTGCCAAGCGCCCCGGTCGCAGGGCAGCAGCACCCCTCCGCGCGCGCGAGGTCGGCGGGCGCCGCCTCGGCCACGTCGGAGCCGGACGGTGCCCACCCCCCCGTCGATGCACGAGCGGCGAGCACGTCTCGGGAGGGGAACAAAAACACACAGGCACACTGAATCGTCGATCCCCCAGAAAATATGAGCAAATATGGGCAGTGTGGGGGGGGGAAGACAAAAAAACGCCCAGCAGTTCGTGTGTCCCAGGGCCCCTTCAATATCCGCAATTGCCCGCGCCCTCGCGGTCCGGATTCCAGGGCGCGGTGTCGCGGACGCGCGGTCGCACGGGGCACGTTCCGCTCGACGCGGTCGCGAGCCAAGGCGCCCCAGCGAGCTTCGGCCGGCGCGATCTCGGCCCGAGCTTCTGTGTCGGAAGTGGATGTTGCGCTGCTGGTGTATTCGTGGTCGAACCGTTGCCTCAGATTGTTGTCCACCTGGATCCCGCTTGATCCGGCTAGATCCCAAGTTCAATTTGGCCTAATCCAGTTCAGTGGCCCTTGATAATCTGGCTTAAGAGCCCCCAATCGCTCTGACGAAAACCTCGTGCCTCCTAACCTTTCGGCCTGCGCCATCTCGGTCCGAGCCCCCGACCCAATCTTTCAGCGCAATTTTTCCAGCCGCAGCGATCTGCGAGGGTACCAGGGCCTGAAATTGGGCGAAAGCGTCCAGTATGGTAAAATTGCAACGCAGTGCCCCTCCGCTTTCGCGACTGCCCGGCGCTTCCCGACCACGATCTTTGGCGCTTGCTAAGCGGCCCGGAGCGTTCACTAAACAGCCCCGCCCTGTTCGATTCTTTCCTTGGGTGCGCTTGCTAAACGGCTTCGCTTGTCGGGTGCTTGCTCTGAGGGTGGATGTTATGCTCTCTCTCTCTCTCTCTCTCTCTCCCTCTCCGCGGATGAGATGTGTGCACCGTACCGCGTTGGAGCGAGGACCTGAAGGGAGCCGAAAACATGGCACGGTGCATCAGCGCCGTGCTCGCACTCTCATCTCTGGGGAGACCAACATGTACCGATCCCGCTCCCCCCCGGACTTTCTCCCGGGCTGCGTTCTCACAAGAATGTCGAGGCGAGTCCACGCGTGGCAACCAGGGCCCCCGAGGAGGCTGCACAAAAGAGGGAAACGGACGAGGGGTAGCGGTATGGGTACCTTCTCCTCCTTCTCCTCCTCCTCCTCCCCCTCCTCCTCCCCCTCCTCCTCCTCCTCCTCCTCCTCCTCCTCCTCCTCCTCCTCCTCCTCCTCCTCCTCCTCCTCCTCCTCCTCCTCCTCCTCATCTCGGCCCGAGCTTCCGTGCCGCAGCTGGATGTTGCCCGCCCCCCCCGCGCGCGCCGCGCGCCCCGATGGCGGCGGGCGCCCGGCCGCCGCGGCCGCGCGCGGGCAGGCCGCGCCGGGAGCGCCCGCCGCTGCTGCTGCCGCGCTTGGCTGGGCTGCCCTCCTCCTTCTCCTCCTCCTCCTCCTCCTCCTCCTCCTCCCCCTCCTCCTCCTCCTCCTCCTCCTCCTCCTCCTCCTCCTCCTCCTCCTCCTCCTCCTCCTCCTCCTCCTCCTCCTCCTCCTCCTCCTCCTCCTCCTCCTCTCATCCTCCTCTGCGCCGGGTCTCGGGCGGCATGTGTCGGCACGACCAGAGTCGGCGGCAACCGTCGTCGACTCGTCGTCGTCGTCGTCGTCGTCGTCGTCGGCGTCGGCGTCGGCGTCGGCGTCGGCGTCGGCGTCGGCGTCGGCGTCGGCGTCGGCGTCGTCGTCGTCTTCGCATTCTTTTTCGCAGAAGAGAGAACACGCCATAAGCGTACGCTTTTGGTGCTTCGCGCAGATTTCTTGGATCCGCGCTGCCCCCCGCCCCCCTTGCGGCGCCACCAGCGCCGCCCCTGGCGCGCTCCGCGCAGCGCGCCAGGGAGGGGGGTCCAGCGCAGATCCAAGAACTCCGTGCGGAGCGCCAAGATGCTTACGTTTCTCCTCTCTCCTTTTCTCTCTCCTCTCTCCTCCCCCTCCTTCTTCTCTCTCCTCTTCTCTTCTCCCCTTTCCCCCTTCTCTCTCCTCTTCTCCTCTCCCTCCCCTCTTCTCCTCTCTCCTCTTCTCTCTCCTCCCCTTCCTCTTTCTCCGTTTATTCCTGCCTCCTCTCCTCTCCCCTCCCCCTCCTGTCAACAGAGGTAAGGGCAGCAGCAAGGCAGGGAGTGTGCGGACGATGGGATGTGTTTGTTCCCTCAACAGGGTAGCTCGACTATAGACGCAAGAGTAAGCTTCCGCTGGAGTGACCTCTGATGCAGGCCCCAAGGGGTCCCCTGATCGCCGAACGAAAAGCGGTAGCAGCGGCTTGCGCGCTCAGGTCTGGCACCAAAGGTCACTCTTGCCTATGGTCACCCTTGCGTGTAATTAGCCGAGGAAGGAGCTTGCCGCAGAGCGTGATATGCAAGTGTATGGAGTTTTCAGAGGTGATAGCGATTACAGCAATCACCGACGACCTCGCTACAAGAAGGGCGAGCACGGCAAATGCAAGAATGGCATCGATCGCGATGGCCGCCAATGCAAGGGGGCCATGGGTCGACAAGCGAGCTCTGCGCGATGCGATGCCCGAGAACAGCAAGACGCAGGTCAAGAAGAGCGACGCTTTCGACGCCAGCGATCGTACAGTCGGGGCCCTGAAGAAGGAACCCTTTTCGTTGGGGAGGGGCTCCGCGTTCCTTAAGTGTTTCACAGCTTGCCTCAGGCTTTCCTTATGTTTTCGACAGGAAATCGAAGGTTAACTTATGGAAAAAAGGGGCCTCGTTCCTTATTTAGGGTTCCTTAGGTCAACGCCCCGACTGTACTGGGGAGGGGTGGCCTGGACCCTCTCACATTCTGTGGTGCGCACGTGCGTCTGCTGCGCCGGTGAGGCGCACGCACCCTGGCGGGTGCACGCCGCGTGCGCCGTGGGCCGTTACCGGTATACCCTCCCGCCAGGACACCCTGGGCAACGACCTCCCTGGGAAAGGGGAGCATTGTTGCAAAGGTTACGGGGAGGATGTGCATGAAGATCGACAGCAGATCCCGTCCAGAATTCTGAACAGGGTACTCCAGATTTCGTAATATAAGTGAGGGGGTCTGGACCCTCCAAGACAAGCCGTTTCAGACCTCCCCCGTGGGAGAACACTCCAAAGCATCGTCCCCAGACCCCCCAGGCCCTCCAAGATAGCCTGGAAGAGACCCCCCCCGAAATGAGACCTCCCTCCCTTTATTACGAAATCTGGAGTACGTTGCCGGCGTCGCCGCGGGCGCTGTCCAGTCGAGACAGAGAAGGCCACCTGCCCACCGGCGGCCGCTGTCGGCTTTGGATAGACTCTGTCTGTTGGGCATTGTGCCCAGCTCTCCCGAGCTAGTGCCGCCCATTCCGGGCGTCCGAGATGTTTCTCGGGGACAACTCCCCAGAATCGGGCCAGACGAAAGGGGGGGATTGGGAAAGGGGGGGTACGAAATTTGCTGCATGCAGCTGGTTTCGGCCCCACCGAGGGGCCCAGTCCTCGATGCATAGTCGCCTCCGGCACCGGGAGGCGCCGGGAAAATCAGCTACGTGAGCTGATGCTCAAACCCCCCCTTTGCTGTCCCCCCCTGTCGCCCGACCCGACAGGAGCACCGCTCGGCAGCCCAGACCTCCTCGGGTCGTGCAGCAGCCGCGGCGGAAGGTTCCGTTTTTGTTCGGTCTGGCCCCCCCCCCCGTGTGTGCTCGGCCTCTGGGGCGCCCTCCCCGGGCCGTGGCCTCGGGGCCGGGCGGGCACAGAGGGAAGGCGCACGGCCGGGCCGGGAGGAGCAGGCGTGAGGCGGGCCTGTCCCCCTACGGGGGGATTTTCGACGAAGAAGAACACATACCCCCAAAATACCCCAAAAAGGTATCAGAGCGTGAATTACCTACCCCGCTTTCGCTCCCAGGCAAAACCGAGTCCTACCACGCGCCTCCTCGTCAAGCGGCTTGACCAGCACAGGCCGTAGTTTGGCATCGCCTGGTATCTCTCGGAGGCGAGGGCGGTCAAAAGCGAGGCAGGTTTGTTTCCCCCCTAAGGTAACAGAACATGCTCGGATGTTGCTCGCAGTGCCCCTGGCCCAGGGTGCCCCCCGGATTTTTCAGGGAGGCCACCCGCTGCCTCCGGAGCACCCCTCGCGAGGCCCAGAGGGCCCCTAGGGCCTCCAAAGTGAAGCGAGCTGCTGGGGGCACCTGTACCTCTAGCAACCCCCGACGATCCTGTCCGGGCCATCCCTTAGCCTGTTTTTTTTGGATTCAGGCAAGTTTACTCGCATGGCGTTCGCCTTGCATGGCGTTCCCCCCCCCCCCCTCGCCCCTCTTCAAGCGAATACTAGCGTGCAAGTGCCTTTCGACTTGCGTGATTTCCGCGCCCCCCACCCCCGTTTGCGGCTTGCTTCAGGCTCAGCCCCCCCCCCCGTCCATGCAAGTAAACTTGCCAGAGTCTAAAAAAACAGGCTCAGACTCGGGGGCGGAAAAGAGGGGGGTGATGACTGGGGGGGGGGATATCATGGCGTGGGCCATGATATTTCCCTGGATTTCATGGCGCCTCTTCTTATTTCATTACGTCCCTGGCCCCCCCCGCTGGGCCGCGCACATGCCGCCGGTCATGATTTGCACCCTCCCCTCTTGGACACCCCCCTCTTGGCCGCTCCCGAGAGACAGTTCTCAGTTCCGAGCGTTGTCTCTGGGTGGAGGGCAAGGGGTGAATTCTGGAGTGCCGTTCCGATTGGTTCTCGAGGCTCGAAGCTGCAAAGGTGGACCACAAGACGGATTGATTCTCGAGGTGCAAGAGCGCACATGGATTTCACCCCGAGCTCTCCACCCTGAGAAAATGCTCAGGGAGGATGGGGTTGGGAAGCACGATCAGACCCTGCGGGCTATCGCGTATGTTGAGCGTGTTTTTACCGCACGGTCGTGCCCCGCATCGTCTCCCAAGCCCTTTCAAAGCCAACCCGATCATTGTCTGTCGCAATCCTGGGCCCAGGATCGGTGCAGAGGCTTCTCTGGTCAAGTCAGGAGGGCATAGCACACGCGCCAAGCCTGGGCTCAGGTCCTGACCAGAATCGGTCTATGAGCGTAGTTCTCTTATCTCCAGGCGGCATGGTTTTCCGTACGTTCCCCAAGCAGTGTTTGCATGTGGTGATTCTTATTTCTGGTCTAAGGAACAGGGCCTCGGCGCCAGTCTGGCTGCTATGTTGTCGCCGTCGCCGTCCCGTCGCCGCCTCGTCGCCCCCCGTCTTCTGTGCCTGTCGATTCTGGCGTTTCTTCTCGATCTCCACTTTGATTCTCATCGATGTAGCCCATTTTGTCATGTCCCATTGTCCTCGATTTCCATTGCGATTCTCCTCGATGTCGCCTTGTCCTGGACCTCGAGCGGCATTACTGCTTCGTGTCCGATTCTCCTCGAGTTCCATTCCGAGTCACCTCGAATTCGCTTTGCCACAGATCGTGACCTGTATGGTTTTCGTTGCGCATCCTGTTCGATCTCCCCACCATTCCGCTTCTCCTCGATCAGCGAGCTGGCGTTTCTCCTGGAGTTCGGCTGCCCGGATCCGTTTCTGATGGTCCTGCAGGCAGCGGGCCTCGGGGCTTTCGGGAGTGGAGCACGGACGAAAATCTACGCGCACGCCGGGTGAAGGGGTCCAGAGGTCTGCGCTGTGAAGGGGCGCAGGGAGGAAGGCCCTCAGCGGCGAGCCCCGGGGAGAAGCGAGCGGTTTTCTGTGGCGTCGTCGGCTCTCGGCGACGTTTTCCGGCCCTGGGGGCGCCTTCCAGCAGCTGTGCCTCGCCGAGAGCGTTCCAGGGGGGCCCGGATCGCGCCGAACGGCCAACGAAGATCCGAGTTACATGACCCTGGAAACATTCCAAGAGCACCAGGCGTCCGAGAGGGGGCAGGCCTTTTCAGAAGGCGGCGGGATTCTCAGAAGCCCTCGCGCCTTTGAGAGGCCGAGTAAGCAATCTCCCAGACTTCTCCGAAGCCGCAGACGGCTTCTGAGAAGGGCTTCTGAGAAGCCCCGCCGCTTTGAACCTTTCTTGAGGCTCTGGCAAGTTTACTCGCATGGAGGGGAAGGCCTCGTGAGACCCCGAAGGAACTCTGGACTTCATGCGAGTCGAAACTTTCACAACATTTCGGCCCAGCATTGTTTCATAGTTGGCGTCACCTCAACATACGATACATACATATATATATATATATATATATATATATATATATTCCTTCTACCTATCAAATTACAAGGAAAAACCCGGCATGTCACCGACACCCCCCCCCACATAGACCCCAGATGAACCCCACAGGCTCCCAAGAGAGCCCCACAATGCTTCGAGACGGCCCAAAATACCCCGAAGAGAGCGACACGAGGCCTACATCGGGAGCCCAAGACAGCAGAAGGCACTTCCGAGACGTCCTCTGCAAGGCCCAAGAGGCCCCAAGACGGCCCCATAGTGCTCCAACAGGACCAAACATGGGCTCAAGACTGTCCAGGATGCCCCCGCAAAGACCTCCAACACGGCCTCAGCAGGCCAAAAACCTTAATTTTCCATTTATTTTTGAACGATTCTGTGCTTCTCGCCTTTTCTGGCCACGAACGGCCCAATAATGATCTGCGAGCTTCCGAGGTCGCCCCGAAATGGCTTCCAGGCGGCCCAATGGGGCCCCAAGATGGGTCAATAAAGCGCAAAGAAAGCCAGGGAGCGCCCAAGAGACCCCTAAAAGACCCCCAAGAGGGCTCCAACAGAGTCACGGGATGCTTCAGAGAGGGCCCGAGAGAGCCCCAACACGGCCCCAGGACGGCCCAAGCCCCCCCAGACAGCCCACGAGGGCCCCAGGACAGCCCAAGAAGGCCCTCCGATGGTATACAAAAGCACCAACAGGAGCTCCACTCAGTCTTAGAGCCGTCAAATTCTTTACACTCTGATTGACCTGAGCGGCCCCCCCCATCGCCCCTAGTTCTTCTCAACCTCGCCCCAAGACGGCACATGAGGCCCTGCAGACATCCCCACTAGAGCCCAAGAGGGTTCCAAGATAACTCTCGGCATGACCTACTCGGACGTCCGACAGCCCATCTCTCGTCCTTCTCTACCTCCTCCTCCTCCGTTTCCCCCTCTCTGCCCCTCATCCCCTCCTCAACCTCCTTCTTCCCTCGAACTCGTCGCCTTCCTCCTCCTCCTCGTCCTCCTCCTCCTCCTCCATCGCCCTCTCCTCATTTGCCTCCACCGACTCCGGGATACGAAAACTGATACTCATTTTCTCAGGAGGTTTTCTCCTGATCCTCCTCCAGCTGCTCCTTCGAGGCTCTGAAGACATCCCCAAGAAAGTCCAAGAAGGTTCCAACCTAACTCTCGACACCAACTCTTCGGAAATCTCCTCCTTCGAGGCTCTGAAGACATCCCCAAGAAAGTCCAAGAAGGTTCCAACCTAACTCTCGACACCAACTCTTCGGAAATCTCCTCCCAACCTCCTTCTGCTGCTCCTCCTCCTCCGGCTCTTTATCCTCCTGCTCCTCTTGCTCCTCCTGTAGTTCGTTGTCTTCCTCCTCCGCTGCCTCGTCAAAAGCCCCAGACCACATACTCTTATCACAAGCTCCCCAAAAGCAACCAGGGGTGCCAAGACAGACCAAGGGGGCTCCGAAGAGGGCCCACGACAGGCTTCCAGGGTCCGGGGAACCACAATTTGATGCGCAGTTCTCCTTTCGTCTCAGGAGCCCACGGAACACTCGCGAGAACTAAAACATACCCCAGACCCCAGACTGCTATCACCAGCTCCCCTGAAGAACCCACGAGACTCCTGGACGGTCCAAGAAGACCCCACCACGGGCCTACGACAAGGCTTCCTCTTGCTCTTCCTCCTCCTGCTCCTCTCTCTCCTGTAGTTCGCTGTCTTCCTTCTGCGCTGCCTTCTGAAGGGCCCCAGATCTGAGACTCATATCCAAGCTCCCCAAAGACACCAAGGCGCCACAAGACACACCTCGGGGGCCCCAAAGAGATCCCACGACAGGCTTCCAGGGTCCGGGGAACCACAATTTGATGCGCAGTTCTCCTTCCGTCTCAGAAGCCCACGGAACACTCGGGAGAACTAAAACATACCCCAGACCCCAGACTGCTATCACCAGCTCCCCTGAAGAACCCACGAGACTCCTGGACGGTCCAAGAAGACCCCACCACGGGCCTACGACAAGGCTTCCTCTTGCTCTTCCTCCTCCTGCTCCTCTCTCTCCTGTAGTTCGCTGTCTTCCTTCTCCGCTGCCTTCTGAAGGGCCCCAGATCTGAGACTCATATCCAAGCTCCCCAAAGACACCAAGGCGCCACAGGACACACCTCGGGGGCCCCAAAGAGATCCCACGACAGGCTTCCAGGGTCTGGGGAACCACAATTTGATGCGTAGTTCTCCTTCCGTCTCAGAAGCCCACGGAACACTCGCGAGAACTAAAACATACCCCAGACCCCAGACTGCTAACACCAGCTCCCCTGAAGAACCCACGAGACTCCTGGACGGCCCAAGAAGACCCCACCACGGGCCTACGACAAGGCTTCCTCTTGCTCTTCCTCCTCCTGCTCCTCTCTCTCCTGTAGTTCGCTGTCTTCCTTCTGCGCTGCCTTCTGAAGGGCCCCAGATCTGAGACTCATATCCAAGCTCCCCAAAGACACCAAGGCGCCACAAGACACACCTCGGGGGCCCCAAAGAGATCCCAAGACAGGCTTCCAGGGTCTGGAGAACCACAATTTGATGCGCAGTTCTCCTTCCGTCTCAGAAGCCCACAGAACACTCGCGAAAACTAAAACATACCCCAGACCCCAGACTGCTATCACCAGCTCCCCTGAAGAACCCACGAGACTCCTGGACGGCCCAAGAAGACCCCACCACGGGCCTACGACAAGGCTTCCTCTTGCTCTTCCTCCTCCTGCTCCTCTCTCTCCTGTAGTTCGCTGTCTTCCTTCTGCGCTGCCTTCTGAAGGGCCCCAGATCTGAGACTCATATCCAAGCTCCCCAAAGACACCAAGGCGCCACAAGACACACCTCGGGGGCCCCAAAGAGATCCCACGACAGGCTTCCAGGGTCTGGGGAACCACAATTTGATGCGTAGTTCTCCTTCCGTCTCAGAAGCCCACGGAACACTCGCGAGAACTAAAACATACCCCAGACCCCAGACTGCTATCACCAGCTCCACCTGAAGAACCCACGAGACTCCTGGACGGTCCAAGAAGACCCCACCACGGGCCTACGACCAGGCTTCCTCTTGCTCTTCCTCCTCCTGCTCTCTCTCTCTCCTGTAGTTCGCTGTCTTGCTTCTCCGCTGCCTTCTGAAGGGCCCCAGATCTGAGACTCATATCCAAGCTCCCCAAAGACACCAAGGCGCCACAAGACACACCTCGGGCGCCAAAGCTACCGCGCACTCGCCTCGCCTCGCCTCCGCTCGCACAATTCCCACACACCTCATTGAACAATTGTGTTCTCGCCCGCGCCCAGAAACATCGTAGGTGCAAGGATCAAGATTAGAAGGCGAAGCGCAGCGAGCCTTAAAATCTTGTATATATATATATATATATATATATATATATGTGCTTCACCCCCCCCCAGGGGCGACCTGCGCACCGAGAAATCTTAGTATATGCGTCGTGGCGGGCGCTTTCTGGCCACACCGCCCAGGAAACGATACACTACAAGATGGGTACACACTAGACTAGGAGGGTGGGGTTCACTCCGCTCGGGAGCTCCCGAGCGAAGTGAACCCCACCCTCCCCCTCAGAAATCGTGGGGGTAGGGGTAGGGTTCGCATGTGGCCCCCTATAGACGTCTGGGTCGGACGCGCGCCTCCCGGGAGGACACTTAGTATGCCGTACGTCTCTGTGTGTCACACATAAGGCGGCGGAGGTGGGCGTTGCTTGAACGCGTCCCCTCGCACTTCTCCCCTGGGCTCGCCGCCGAGGCTCGGGCGGCCCAGGACACCAGGAGGCATCGCTCGAGAGCGCCCCGAGAAGTGCTCGCGGAGCGTTCCGATGGCGCTCTCCGGCACGGCCGCGGTGCCCGAGGTGTGTTCCTGCAGAGCCGCTAGATGTTTCAGGGATCCCCGATCTGTCCTGGTCCGCCTTCCTCCTCTCTTCTCCCTCCTTCTTTCTTCTCTTCCTCCTCCTCCTCCTCCTTCTCCTCCTCCTCCTCCTCGTCCTCCTCCTCCTCCTCCTCCTCCTCTCCTTGTCTTGGTCCTGGCCTCGCCTTGTCTCAGAGGAGGAAGGGGGGAGGGGAGCGGAGGAGGGAGGAGGTGTCCAGTGAAGCTTGGCGAGGGATGGGGAGGACGGAGGGCGGTTGGCCATGGCACAGCCTCGACATTTTGACCTCAGCCCGTGCTGGCAGGCCAGAGAAGGCAGGCGGAGAGAGGGAGGGAGGAGGGACCAGGAGGGAGCAGGGGGGGAGCACGGAAGAGGGAGAGAGAGGAGGTAGCAGGGGGAGGAGGGACGGAGGAGGGAGGAGGGGGAGGCACTGGGTAGGGTCGTTGACGTCGTCGTCGTCGTCGTCGTCGTCGCCGTCGTCGCCGTCGTCGTCGTCGTCGTCGTCGTTGTCGTCGTCGTCGTCGTCGTCGTCGTCGTCGTCGTCGTCGTCGTGGTAAGTTTTACTCCAGCCCCAGATCGTGACCCGGGGAGGCCGCCAGAGGCCTCTGCAGGCCCGATCGGGGCCGAAAGGACCCGCGAGCCTCCCCCCTCGCCGTTCGAGAGTCGAGGGCTGGCACGTCGCCGTCGTCGTCGACGACGTCGACGTCGTCAGCGTCGTCGCCGCTCCCGCGCCCCTCGCGAGGCGCCGGCGGCGCCCGCCGCGGGGCGGGGCGGCCGCGGGGAGGCGCCGCGTTCCCACCCAGCCCGTCCTCCTGACGGCCGCCCTCCGCCCTCCTCTGCCCTCCTCCTGCTGCTCCCTTCCTGCTGCTCCCTTCCTGCTGCTCCCCTCCTCCTCCTCCTCCTCCTCCTCCTCCTCCTCCTCCTCCTTTTCCCCTCCTCCTGGGCTCTCCCTGCTTCTCCTCCTGCTCCTGCTCCTCGTCCTCCCCTCCTCCTCCTCCTCCTCCTCCCCCTCCTCCTCCTCCTCCTCCTCCCCTCCTCCTCCCCCCCTCCTCTCCCCCCCTGCTCCTCCTCCTGCTCCTGCTCCTCCTGCTCCTCCTCCTCCCTCCAGCCTCCAGCCTCCCCCCCCTCTCCTCCGTCTCCACCTCCTACTCCTCCTCCCACCTCCTCCTCCCTCCATGCCCCCTGATCCTCCACCCTTCTCCTCATCCCCCTGTCGTCCGCCGCCTCTCGCCGAGGCGCTCAGCAGCGCAGCGGAAGGCTGGTCGTGACTAGGCGCGCTGGTCGGCGGACAACGTCAACGTGAGGTTGTCGCAAGAGCTCTCGCAGGTCCGCGACAGCATGGAGGCAGCCGAAATGGCCTTGAGCAGCCTGGTCGGCATCCTGCAGGCGAAGCTGGCTGGGAGGAAGCCCTCCTGGCTCGGGATTCTGCGCCGCAATGCGGCCCTGCACGCGGACGCGCACTGCATCAACGTGGCGACGGCGAAGCCAGCTGTGCTGCGCCGCGCCCAGCGTGAACGGCGGCTCGAGGTTCGCGCTGCACGAGAGTCGGATTCCGCGGAAGGCTTCGAGGGGAAGTTGCGCGCGGAGGCGCCCGTCTTCGTCCCGTCGTTCGTCATCGTGGAGTCCCCTTTTTTGCGACAGCGCGGCCGAGGCGGAGGCCCAGGCGGACATCGAGGAGGGGGCTGCCCAGCATCCAGCCGTGGGGACCCTCCCCCTCTGCGGCTGACGGCTCTGAGGGAGGGGTCGAGCACGTGCAGGTGGAGTCGCCGCACAGGGAGGGGCTCTCCGCGCCCTCTCCCGCTGCTCCGCCTCGGGCGCCGCGGGGCCTTCCAGCTGTTCCTGGGGAAGGCTTTCTGTTCGGGCCATACAAGCAATCTGGGTGGTTCTCTCATTCGGCATAGCTTTTTGTTCGACCACAATGGCGGCGGCTTCGGCGAGTCATCGGGTGAGGAGTTCATGGGTTTATTATGATATAGAGGCTATCCTGCGCCAAGCTCATATGTGCACGCTTGATTTGCACGCTGACACGTTCATCTCGTTCCTGGTGTTGTCCACCGCGTCATGCTGTTTTTTTCACGATTCGGGCGCTTTCTGGTATTGCGCGTGGCTGCGGGCTTCCTGCTATCGCAGGTGGTTCCCGTTTTTGGGCTTGCGGGCGCTGGAGTGCACTGGGTATCGGGTGTGGTCAATTCGTCTCCGAAGGTCAACGCATAAAAAGGTGGCCTCGCCTTCATCGAGGTGCAGCTGGACTCCCCTCTCGCGCTGCTGCTCATGTTCGTCTGCGTGCTCGTTCTGGTCGTCCTCGGCTCGGTCGGCCTCCCACGTCGAGTTACACAGGTGGAGCGTTGAGTTCAAAAAAAGTCCACCCTCCTCCTCCTCCTCTTCCTCCACCTCCTCCTCATCCTCCTCCTCCTCCTCCTCCTCATCATCATCATCATCTTCATTATCCTCATCATCTTTATCCTCCCCCTCATCCTCTTCATTCCTCCTCCTAATCCTCCTTTCCTGAGTTCCGACGTTGGGAATGAAATGCAACATCGCGACGCACGTCGACCGGAGACCCCGACCCCACTTCCCTGCTACATGTTTCGCGCCGCGTCGACCCGCGAAGGTCCTGGGGCCAGAGTGTTTGCGGACGTGCCCGGCTCGAGAAGACTGCCGCGCCAGGATTTTGGGGGCCCTGTTTCCTTTCACTCTGCTACAAGCGGGGGGGAGTGGAAGGGGAAGAAGGAGCCCGATACACGTGGCAACGTAGGGTGTAAGGCGCTTTCTCAGCGAGGATGCGCCTTGGGTAGAGGAGTCCAGGGGAGCCCAACGTCGGCACTGTTGCAGACATATTTGCGTACTCTCCTCCACGAGGGGGGAGAGGGGGGAGAAGGCGTTCCAAGCCAGCACGCCGGCGGCAGCAATGTTCTCGGTGGGATCAGCTTGCAGCGGCCACGGGGTGCAACACCACCACAGCACCGCGATCGTGTGCTCCTTACTGGGGCGCCAGAAGGCCTCGAAACAAGGCCTCACAACCCACAAGAGCCTTTCCCAGGTCGTCGTTTTCTTATTCATTGTTTTGCCGATCGGCGCGGGCCATCGCACGCCTGTTTCGGTTGTTTCGGGCGCCTGTTTCAAGCAGGTGGACGACTCCCCGAAGGATCCCCCATTGGAGCACTGTCCCAAACAGTCTCGCTAAGCAGAGGTCCGGAGCCAGACCCCAACCCGTCCCCCCCCTTCCGCTCAATGTCAAAACGCCGAATAAGAAAACGCTCACAAGGGGTCCCAGTGAAGAAGTACCGTTCTGCGCAGTACAAATGCCCCCTTCATTCGGGGGTCCATTTCGGTCCGATCGATCCGGTTCGATGTCGCTCTGGCGGGGTCGATCCGATTCCGGCCCGATGCTTGGTTACGTGGCGGTGCTGTGGATCCTGGCGCAGCCGCTCCGGTAGGATTAAGTCGGGCATGTCCGTCTACAGGAGGAATATTCGAGAATATTCAAATCAAGACGGGGGCGATTTTTCGATTCTGCTGACTATCTGGGAGTATTGTTCGACTCTGCTTCAGTTTTGCTTCCAAAATCCGCCTGCAGGAAGACATGCCCGACCTACCGATACGATCTCGATTCCGTGCCGATGCAGCCCGATCTGATGCGCTTTTGAGCGACGTAGAAAGACAGGACCGTGCTCACCGACACTGGCGCGTAAGCTGCCCGCGCAAGGGCGCGCGGAAACGCCCTCGTCTCCAGTGTGGCGTTCCGCGCCGGTTGCCCGCGCAAGCTGCCGCTTAAGGTCGCTGTGCCATCTCGCGCAAGGCCCGCTTTGTCTCGTCGCCGATTCCGATCCTATCCGATGTGCCGATTCGATGCCGTCCAATGTTGGCGTCCCCCAGCCCCCTTCTGAGTAGCATATCGTCGGAGTGCTGTATTGTATATCCTCGCAACACGCTAGCGTCCGGCAGTCGACGGGACGGTGCCTAGATTCAGCGTCGATCAGCGTAGATTTAGCGCCGACTCGCGTCGACTGGCGTCGATAGTGTCGCTCAGCGTCGATAGTGTCGTTCAGCATGATGGGCCAATTTTTCCGCCACCACTGCCATAGGCAGGACGGGGGAGAGGGGAGGATGGGGAGGTCCTCCTCCTCCTCCTCGTAAGGCTACCACGACCAGAGCTGGACACCCTTCCCGAATTCGTGAATCCTTGTGGGCCAAGGTCTACCGTCAGACCCAGAAGGCCTCCAGAGCACAGAAGGGGCTCCACTGTTGAGCGTTTCGTGTGGAGATCCGTCCTGGGACTCTCATACTCTTCCTCCTCCTCCTCCTCCTCCTCCTCCTCCCCTCCTCCTCCTCCTCCTCCTCCTCTTTCTCCCTCTTCTCCCTTTGGTAGTGGTGGTGGGAGATCGGCCCGTCCAGCCAGATGGCGCGGGAGGCTCCCACCGAGTGGCCCCCCCCAGCCCTCCGCTCCTCCCCCCCCGCCGCTCCCGCGGCGCCCAGGCGCTGGCAGCGGGCCTCGCGGCTGCCCGCGCGGCCGCGGCTGCGCGGCGAGGCCCGCCTGCGACCCCCCCCCCCGCCCGCCGCCAGACGAGGCACGGCGTCTGACGACGTCGACGACGACGATGACGACGACGACGTCAACGACCCTACTCAGTGCCTCCCCCTCCTCCCTCCTCCGTCCCTCCTCCCCCTGCTACCTCCCACGACCCCTCAGTGCCTCTTCCCTCCTCCCCCTGCCGCCTCCCGACTGCACGCGAGAGTGGCCCCTCGTTGGGAGGGACCTCCGGCGCGGGCTCACGAGGGGGACACCCCGGCATCGGCGGGCGCGCCCGGATCTGGCCCCGCCGCGGCCCCCGCAAGGCCGCGCAGCAGAGGCCACCTCTGCCCCGGGGCCACTCTCTTGGGGATGCAGCCGAGCGCAGGGCGGCGCGGCAGCGTAGGACGACAGCCTTCTGCCGACTCGGGCAGGGGCGGCTGAAGAGCTCATCCACTGCTCTCGAGGTCCGCGGTTCGAGGTGGTCGGACGTCTTCGTGGGGGTCTCGGCGGCTCTCCCGCCTCGGGGCGCCTTCCAGCGGCTGCGCCTCGCCGAAAGCAGGGGGCGTTCTCTCGGATCGTCCGGTTCGCAGCGCACCCCGTGATGAGCATGGCTGATAGGAGTGCCCTCCCGATTCGCTCAGTGTCCTAATGCGGGCCCCTATCACCTTCGGCACGGAGCCCGCCGCCGTTCCGGTTGTCGCCTTCGGGGGGCTAGTTTGGGGGCGCCGGGGGGGGGGGGCGGGGGTTGGCCTTCCCGCCTTTGTGCGCGGTGGCCGCGGCGAGGAGCCGCATCGCGCGGTGTGCCGCCGCGGCCTGGCTCCCCAGTCCAGGGTCGGCCAGAGGGGTTCGCAGCATCGGTGAGCTGGCGGGCCCCGCCCCAGGGCCCCCTCCAAGGGGGCCCGGGGGCGTTCTCGGCTCCGTGGGCCTGGGCGTCCATCGGGAGCAAGCCGAAGGCCCTGTGCTTCAGGTTCCAGGCCGGAGCTGGCTGCAGGCGCGCGCGTGCACGCGCGGGGCCTGCCAGCCCATGTCTCAGGCGCTGGCCAGGCGCCCGTGACTCCAGCCGATGGCGAAGAGTGGCGAGGAAGCGAACTGGAAATCGCTGTTGGGGGGGCTGCGTGTCTAAGCAGTGATGCCCAGAGGTCGAGGCGGGTCAAACGTGCAGGGCCTTTTTCGAAAGCATGGGTCACTGTGTTTGATTGACGGATTCCATTGTCCATTTGACTCAGGCTCTGATGGCAACTTTAGCAAACATAGCCGTTCTAACGCGTCCGGGGGTTTCCCGCCCGCTGAGTGCCCCCAGTATGTTGCCTGTAGCGCTCTGCCCGCACGTAGGACGTAGGGAGGACAGGAATGCTCCAGCTTTGGCCCAAATGATTGAGGCTGAGGCCGTCGGACATTCGCGTCGCGTCGCTGTATTGGCAACCCTGACGAGCGCGGTCAAGTTTGCGCGCCGTTGGTGGTCCGACGTTACGTTGAACGCCGCTGACCGTTCAAGGTTGCACGATCCACGCGGAGTCGGAAACCCACACGCAAGTCGCCCCGACGTGGACCAACTGCTTTCAGTTTCTTAGTGTGGTCCGTGTGCTCTGTGTTTTCCTGCTGGGGATTGGCGTTGGGTTGGTGGTGGGGAGATGCTCTCGTCCTGCACTTACTCGTGGGCCCACTCCACGACCTCTCCCTTCCACGGCTACTGTTGCAATACCGCCACCGCCGCCTGCGATTCTACCACCGCTTCCACCGGGGCCGCGGAGTCGCCGTGAACCGATTCCCTGAGAGGGCTGACGCGCCTGTGCTTCAGATTGCGTACATGTCCAAAAATTCTGAGGTGTTCTACTCAGAGCGTGAATTACCTACCCCGCTTTCGCTTCCAGGCAAAACCAAGTCATACCACGCGCCTCCTCGTCAAGCGGCCTGACCAGTACAGGCTGCAATTTGGCATCGTTTGGTATCTCTTGGAAGCGAGGGTGGTCAAAAGCGAGGTAGGTTTGTTTTCCCCCTATCTACCTCTTCAGGAATTGTCAGTTAGGCCGTCCGTCGTTCGAAGGCAGCGGGGCCCATCAAATCTCTGCAGTTTCTGCGCTGCGAGGCGCGAGTGGTAGGCCAAGATTGCTCAGGCACACCCCAGCGCGAGCTCGCAACGTTTGTGGGACTGGCGCAGCGTGAGTTCAATGATGGTTGCGTGCAGCGTTGGCTATTGGTTCAAAGTTGTAGATCCAACTGAGGTGTCTACAGCTTAAGCTCAAAGCTGAGCGTGGGAAGCACTGCTCGTTTACATTCAGCCTTAGCATCTGGACAAGTCGTGATAAGCCTTGTTAATAACGCCTAGGCTTTTTATGCCTCGTTAAGCTGATAAGGCGTATTAAACCTTAAAGCGTTGATGAGGCTTGCGTGATGTTGTTAAGCCCTGATAAGGGCGCAGTTCAATCCACCCAAGATGCAATCCAACCAAGATCATCCTCCAGGAGGGGAGGAGAGGGGGGCAAGGCTTCTCAGAAACACCCCTGCTTCTTCGAGGGCGCGGGCCTTGTCTTCAGCTCCCATGGTCTACAGACGCAGGGCCAGCGCATTCTACGAAGCAGCCTCCCGAGAAGCCTCTCCCCCTCGTCCTTGTGCGCGCCGCCAAGTTCCAGCAGTGGCGAAGCGTCCTGGCGTGCCTATAAGCCTACCGAACAATGTTCTAAGAACCTTTTGCGGTTCCCACGAACTGTTCTTAGAACATGTCCTGTTGGGATTGTCTCGTCGTATCACGTCGGGTTCATGTTCTAAGAACATTGTTGTTGTTCTTAGAACATCCTTGGGTTCTAAGAGCACTCCGTGGTCGGACTATACAGTCGGGGCCCTGAAGAAGGAACCCTTTTCGTTGGGGAGGGGCTCCGTGCTCCTTAAGTGTTTCACAGCTTGCCTCAGGCTTTCCTGAGGTTTTCGATCGGAGATCGAACACTTTAACTTGTGGAAGAAGAGGGGCCTCGTTCCTTCTTTAGGGTTCCTCAGGTCAACGCCCCGACTCTATAGGAATGCCTGGACGGTCGTTCCCTCGGCAACACCCCAACATACTTATACTATATGTGCGTCGCCCCCCCAGGGGCGACGCGCGCACCGAGAAATCTTATAGTATACGCGTCGTGGCGGGCGCTTTCTGGCCACACCGCTCGGGAAACGATGTACCACAAGATGGGTATACTATATGTTCGGGTCGGACGCGCGCCTCCAAGGAGGACATATAGTATTAGTATGCCCATGTGCGTCCCATACTTGCTGGAGGAGGAGGAGTAGGAGGAGGTGGAGGAGGAGGGAGGAGAGGGAGGAGGAGGAGGAGGAGGAGAGGAGGAGGAGGAGGAGGAGGAGGAGGGAGAGGAGGAGGAGGAGGAGGAGGGAGGAGGAGGAGGAGGAGGAGGATGAGGATGGAGGAGGAGGAGGAGGAGGAGGAGGAGGAGGAGGAGGAGGAGGAGGAGGAGGGAGGAGGAGGAGAGGAGGAGGGAGGAGGAGGAGGAGGAGGGAGGAGGAGGAGGGAGGAGGGAGGAGAGGAGGAGGAGGAGGAGGGCCCAGCCTCCCCCCCCAAGCGGCCCCCCGGGCGCGAGCCCAGGCCGACGCGGCAGGCCGCTCGTGGCCGCCCGGGCGCTGAGGCGGCTCTGGGGCTGGCTGTCGCCCCGGGCCGACGAGGCGGCGGGCGGCCGCCGGAGGAGGAGGAGGAGGGAGGAGGGAGGAGGGAGGAGGGAGGAGGGAGGAGGGAGGAGGGAGGAGGGAGGAGGGAGGAGGGAGGGGGAGGAGGAGGAGGATGAGGAGGCTCTGGGGGTGGCCGTCGCCCAGGGCCGACGAGGCGGCGGGCGGCTGGTCGCGCCAAAGCGGCCGAGGGGGCGAGGGTTCCGAGGAGGAGAAGGTTCCATACTCGGGGGCCACATGCGAACCCTACCCCTGCCCCCCACGATTTCTGAGGGGGAGGGTGTGGTTCACTCCGTTCGGGAGCTCCCGAGCGAAGTGAACCCCACCCTCCCTCTCAAAAATCTTGGGGGGTAGGGGTAGGGTTCGCATGTGACCCCCTACATACCTCTACCCTTCGCTCGTTTTCCCCTTTTTGGGGCCTCCTGGGCGGCCCTCGTCGCCGCCGCTGGATTCGCCTCGAAAGTCTGGTCAGAACGCACTCCGGGACAGGTCCGGGGAGTGGCGGTATCGGTACCTTTTTGCTTTCCCTCCCATCCCCATCCCCTGCGAGACCCCCACCAGATTACCACTCCCAGTTGGGGATGCACCCCTGGAAGCCCGAAGGGAACGACCTGTATCCCCATCTAGGGGGGTACATCGGCCAGTGGGGCCCAGGCCATGCCGCTGGGGATGGGGATCGGTCAAACGATACCCAGAGGGAAGGAGCGAAAAGCAACGAAGACAGTGCAGCTCTGCCGCTGAGCACCTGTGCAGGTCTAGGCCTCCCAGATGGGGTCGGAGCAGCAGGGGTCGGGAGATCGCGTTGCATAGCTGATCCGTCGGCGATGGGAGATCGCGCTGCGTCGCCGATTTATCGGCGATGCGGGTCGCGCAGGCTCGCCGACGCATCGCCGATGTATCGGCGAAGAACAAGTGCATAAGATAAACTTTCGGCGCTCCGCGCGCGTGACGGTTGGTCGTGCGTCGTTTTCGGCTTCCGAAGGCCCTCGCGTTGGACCACGGGGCCGTCAAACATGATTCGGGATGAGACGCCGGTCCCGGGGAAAGGGTCGGAATGTTCGGGGTCCGACACCATGCATATCGACAACATCGAGGCGGAGGTCTTTCGTAGTTCTCGGTCTCTCGGGGCCCTTCCCGGGCCTCGGGACCGTCAAACAAGGAGTGAGATGACGAGCCGGTCCCAGGGAAGTGGTCGCGAGGTCGGGGGCCAGCGTTCGGAACAGAGTCGAGACGCCGGATGTCTGGGCACTCCAGATTTCGTAATAAAGGGAGGGGGGTCTCATTTCGGGGGGGGTCTCTTCCAGACTATCTTGGAGGGCCTGGGGGGGTCTGGGGACGATGTTTTGAAGGGTTCTCCCACGGGGGGGGGGTCTGAAATGGCTTGTCTTGGAGGGTCCAGACCCCCTCCCTTTTATTACGAAATCTGGAGTAACCGTCGTGTTGTTTCTCGGATTCGGACTGATGGGTCCGTTGCAGAGCGGGTCTCGTAAGTGCTAGTTCGTACACTCGTTCGTGCGGGCGCACGTCGTGCAATGTCAGCACGCGGCTGCCATGCGCCTTGCGCCGATGAACTATTACAAAATCACGGTCGTCCGCGGCCGGTCGGGCAGCGGGCGCGGATCGATGAAACCCAGCCTTGATTTTTCCAATGCGGGCCCTGATTGGAGCCCTCCCCCAGAGGGCCAGCTCTTTACCCTGACTCGTTTTGCTTACGGGCCCAGGGAGAGGTTCCTGGGCGTTCGAAAGCAGCCAGAAACATCGGGACCCGTTCTTCTGAGTACCCCGTTCCTTCATGGCGACCGGGCTGCCTCCGATGGGGCGTTTCAGAAATGGCCCCGCCCTCGCAGCGCCTCACCCTCGGCCGAAGCCCGCGGAAGCCAGCGGAAGCAAGACGCTGGCGGGTCCGATGGCGAAAGGCCTGCGGAAGTCGGGGCAAGCAGAACATGAGACGTCAGAATGTCGGACACACCCAGGCATCCGACGAAGTGTACGTTTTGTTCACAACGTGGTTCTCCAGAGGTCCGGACCTCTTCCTGGGGACTGGCTCTTCGTCCTGAGTCGTAGATGTTGACTGCCCCGGGGGCCCCCAGGGAAGGGCCCCCGGAGGCCGAAGGTGACCAACATGTGCCCTATGGCTTTCCCACGACGCGAGGATGTGTGGAAACGACGGAGATGATGACGCCGCCTTTGCGCTGCCGTTCCCTCGGATCCGACGTTGCGAAAAAAAACATCGCAAATGATTTCGGCGAAGGACCAACCATGTGAAATTGTGAGTGTCACGGTTGTGAGTATGGTCTTCGGTGGAGTTCCTCGAGGGGGCCACGAAACGTGTGAGGGGTGTACGTGTGCAGCGGCGCCATGCGGGCGCCGCCGTTAGGGCCTGCGGTGGATCTGCCCATGGGGCCGCGAAACGTTGGAGGGGTTCGCCGAAACGTGTGCTGCGGGGTCATGCGGGCGCTGCCACTGGGGCCTTCGGCGGAGCGCCCTATGGGCCTATGGGGCCACGAACCGTCTAAGTGGTATGCCAAAACCGGCGCGGCGGTGCCATGCGGGCGCTGCCAATGGGGGCGTCAGGTGAAGCTCCCTATGGGGCCACGACACGTTTGAGGGGAGGGCCGAGTTGGGTGCCGCGGGCCTTTTTTTTAGCTGTGTGCCAGGCTCGCGCGGCGCGAGCTCAGGTCGAAGCAGCCGCCCTGCTGGCGGCCGCGGGGCACAGGCGGCAGGCGATAGCCCGAAAACGGGGCGCTGAGTCTCGCAAAGGAGCGAGCGAGCCAAAAGGGCCAACCCGCCGCCACACGGCCAGCCCCCAGGCAGCGAGCCTGCGCCCTCGGCTGCGCCTCCTTCGGCGGCAGCCCGATTCTGATCCTTTGGACCTCCTCGAGGCGATGCTGCAGGCCTCGAGCGCTGTTGGGGAGCTTGCACTCCGCAGCTGACAAGCCTCTGTGCACAGCAATGGCACCTGGTACAAATGCGGTACCCGTTGACGGTGACAAGCTGATGCTCGCCGCTGGCCACCCCGGGGACACCAGTGCCATCACCTGCGAACGACGCGGCGGCAGAGGGTCCAGGGAGGCTCTCGAGGGCAACCGACCGAGAAGGTTCGGGCGATCTCGAACGGCGAGCGAAATCAAGGCCACACTGCGACAGGACCTGGCTGCTGGACTGCAGGCCCTCTCTTGGCTGAGACAGATCTGGGCCGCAGTATTGTGCTTCAGCATCTGAAAGAGACCGCTGGCTGCACTGTGCAGCCAGGGCAGGGGCATCCTGAGGGGCTTCTGCAGCGGGGCCCGAAGGAGGCAGCGGGGGTCTTGGGGGGGCGGCCTCAGGGTGCTCACCGAGCTCCTCCCCTACCACCCCCCCGTGGCTGCGAATCCCGCCCACACTGCTCGAGGCAGCGGCACGAATCCCGCTCCTCGTGCCGACAGCGACCCCCGATCGGGGGCCCGCGGCACTCGGAGGGCCCACGGGCCTCCCGACAGCCACTTCCTCCACAAAGCCAGAGCCAAAAGGGGCTTCTGCAGCGGGGCCCGCAGGAGGGCTAGGCCGGAGGTCCACAAAGCCAACAGCAGCGGTGCTTGCGCGAGCCTCTCTCGCAGACGACGCCCCTTTTCCTCAGCAATCGAGCGGCCAGTTCTCGAGCTGGCTCCAGAGGCCGCCGACAACAGGAAGGCGATCTTCTGCATGGTCGTCTTGGGGGCCTCGGTGGTCTCCCTAGCATCGTCGTTGCCGTTGCACGGCGCAGACTCGCCAGCCGCCGCCATGGCAGCGATAGCCGCCGCCGCCGTGGCCGCAGTCGCCAAGGCTGCCCTGGCAGGTCGCTTGCGCGAGGACCCGCCAGAGAGGGCGGGGCGCAGGGCTTCGGCACGCACGGCTTGGCCCATCAGTGCGCCTTGACGGTGTCGTTGTAGGCCGTCTTGGGGCAGCGCAGGCAATGGATGCCACCGTGGGGGACCTCGATCACCTCGTGGCTGGTGAGGAGCAGCTGCGACTTATCACCGAGGTGCCTCGTGATCTTCCCATGGGAGATGTCCTCGCGACGATCCGCAGCGATGCTGCCAGCCACGGAGACCCAGTAGAAGGCGGCGTCCAGCATGGTCTGCCTCGTCGAGATGACCTGCCGCATATTGTCTTGTGCTCGAGGTTGAGCTGCGACAAACTTGGCACACCAATCTGCTTCCAGGCTGCCACGCCTTGCCCTGGCCGTGACCAGGCCCTCCAACGCGTGCTGGACCGAGGCGTGCGCTTTGATTTTGACCACCTCGGGGCCCTGGTCGCCGAGGCCGCCGAAATCCTGGACGGCATGTCAAACTCGAACCCACAGTTCGGCCCAGGCTGACTTGCTGCTCGTGGTGGCCTGCGGACCACGCTCGTTGATGCCTTCCACCACGTACTCCGCGCCAGACTGAGCGACGACAGGTGGGAGTGACAGCAACTCTCCTCCATCGATGGACTGAAGGGCCCCTGCTAGAGGCGAGCCTACAGCTCGCGTGGCAGAGGCCCAGGGTCGACCTCCTCGCCTCCCTGGGGAAGAGCGACCACCGCACAGGCGGCGCAGGGCGACCCTCGTGATGCCGTCAATGAAAGCCCCGTCGGCGTACAGGTCGGGCTCTGCAGACGGCGCGCCCTCGTCGCAGCCCTTGATCCACTGCGCGCGCCAGGATGTCGTCAGCAGGGGCCCTCCAGTCTTTGAGCGGCTCTGGTTGCCAGAGCCTCCCCAGCAGCGCGCGAAAGGCGATGGGGTCGCCTCTGTCCAGGAACCGCCCCATCTCGGCGGGGGGCGCGAGGTCGGGGCGCGAAGAGCTTGCCGGGGCACAGCGAGCAGACAGAAAGGGAATTGAAGCCAGCGGCGCACCGCCGCCCATGGAGCCATTGGCCGTGGCAGGGCATGACTTGGCATGCCCCGCTTCGCTTGGCGCGAGCGAGCGCCGCGTCCTGGCGATCTCGGCGGGCCCTCGGCCCGTCGCGACCCACCGACGCACCTGCGGTGGAAAGACGCCGCT